GCATTGAAAAAAAAAATTGCATTTTTTTTATTAGATAAAACATGAACTCAATTATACGTACGCACGACCTCTAAATGTGTTATGCTTCAAGCAGTTCACTGAACGTACGTTTTATAGCAACTGTGTGGGTTATATGATATAAAACACCTGTTGGCTATAGATGAGAATTACACTTTGATCAATACATGGAATGCTTCGTTAATTTTGTGGCGGTGGAATAGCCTTGTGGTTAAAGCGTCCGCTCGTCACGCCGAAACCCCGGGTTCTATTCCCTCTGTGTGTAATGTGTAAATCCTACTTCTGGTTCCCCGGCGTGACATTGCTGTAAATATTGTGAAACACCATACTCAATCACTATTTTCTTTTACTTTCCACAAAATAAATTAAGGAATTTACATTCTAAAGTACATGAAACTAGTTTGTAGAAAGTCCGTTTTTACTCTATGACAGGTTTGGCTCACAATGTATACCACGTCTCTGTAGAAGGGAGGAGCGAGATATGAATATTCATTAGGGATCTACCATTATATAATAGGGGTGTGGGGGTTGGGAGACGGGGAGGGTTGCTAGGAATCTTTTTTCAAAACACATCAGTTTGCCAGACATGCTGGACTTCCTGAAATATAATGTATAGATAATTTTTTTCCGGCTCCTTCTTTTATATAATACCTTAAATTATAAATCTATGTTCCCAGTCCCTACCCTAGAATACCAAATAGTTGCTACGCTACTGTTTGAAACATCTTTACTTTAGTCTTATAATTCTATTTTACTGTAATTCGATATTCTTACTTTTGTTTAGATTTCCTAATTTAAAATTATTGTTAATTAATTTTCTCAATGAAATTTCTGGTTATATAGTTTTTGATACCCTGGGTCAATATTATAAGAAAATTATTATATAAGTAGCCATGAATGTGTTTTAACATCGTTAGTTCTATGGGAGGTGATAATTTGAATTCCATGCATAAAACCCGGAAACAAGACTACATCGTCAAAGTAAGTTGTTGACCCTTATGTTCACAATGACATATTTCTGTGTAATATTTCACTGTGGTGTTTTAATATAATTGCGGAAGAAGCAGTAATTGTCTCGTTTTGTCGAAGCTCAAACCGGCTGACCTGCACTACCTCACGTTGTTTGTGTGCGTCTTAATGTAACTGTCAACGATCTGTCAAGTGTTGTGACGAAACCGATTTATATATATTTCTTATGGTTTTCTCGATGAAACAGACATGCCTGTCGTGCCTCATCTGTCAATCAAATGACACACCTGGCCGCGTGCACGAAAAGCTCGTGACTATTTAGTATTCACAACGACATGGTGTCATTCATTCATTTAAGATTTAAGGCATTAATACACAACCGCATGAGATGTTGATAAACTTGGAAATTTGTTGTTGATAAGATTATGAAATGGTATTTGTGTCATTGTTTTTTTCATGAAACCGATACGATATATTTCTACGCCAATGTGACACAATGACGTCATCTATCTTTTTATTTATCTTTTTATGTCTTGTCTTTGGCACAATGTGTCACAGAATATCACGATCAGAGCTCGAGATAATTGTAAAGTTTTCAAAAAAGTGTTACATTAATTACAAAACTTAAACACATTAAGGTTTAGCGGCATTAAACCACACATTTGGGAGAGAGCCAGGAAATCCCGTTGTAGATTTAACTGAAAAAATATGTTTAAACTAAACTAACCAATTCAGGTGAATTAAAGATAGGAATTTTTTGTTTTTTTTGGTTTTAAATTGTGTAGAGGAATTTATTTTGAAATCATATCAGCATTTTTGCTAATTTCTTGAAAACATATTTAAACTTTAATATTTTAATAATTTATTACGATGTCACCCTGGTCAGGCGTTGACTTTAAAAAGGACTTATCCCAAATGTATTTTTTCTGATTTATTAATTTCATTAAGAAACATCAATCACATGAAAATAAATAAATTGATATTATTCGTGCACGGGACCAGGAAACTGATCATTTTAGGACGTGAAACCATGTTCATTTTGGAAATAGACGAGTGCGTGTGAGAGTGTTCCAATTACAGTGGTATAATGGTACAGTAAACTACGGTTATAACGAACTCAAAGGGACCACTAATCTTGGTTCGTTATAACCGTAGTTCGTTATAAGCATATATACAGCATATATACAACAAATGGCCGGGACTAAAAATAGGTTCGTTATATCTGTCAGTTCGTTATAAACGTGTTCGTTATAACCGTAGTTTACTGTAATTATGTTACAGTAGAACCCTGTAATTATCCCACTGCTTCGTGGTTGTTACACGAGTGAGTGGGTGAGTGAGTTTGGTTCAACGCCGCTTTGAACAGTAGTCCAGTTTTATCTCCGCGTGTCAGCTGGATGTGGGAGGAGAGCCCGAAGTGATGCAGGACCACTTTGCTGGTTACAATGAGGATCAGATGGTCACTTGTGTGTCATCGTGACCCCAAATACTGGGTTATTTACAGGCCTTAGATATATAGCTGGAATATTGCCGACTTCGTGTTACTGAACAGAATATTACACGTGTTCGCGTGTATTCAATCAAACTGTATGCAAAGAGAATGAATCATTAAAAATTAATTTTAAAAAGTAAAGTATTAATCAAAATATGACCCCAAAAGCCTCCAAAAATATCAGGGATTATTTTTTAATAATATTTATGTGAAGCCTTCGGTGTGATAACTCCTTGGGGTATATTATAGTGAAGAGGTTTCTTTCAAGTGATGATTATGTTGTGATGGATGTGTGCTCGTTTCATGCTATGAGTAATAAATGTAGACAATGTATTATAACATGTCAAATGTGGTGATTGAATTACCGATCTATTTCTTTAACAGGGCGATAAATGCTCTAAGGACAGTCTTAACAAATGAATCAATAGTGTAAGCCTGCTTTAACTTAGTTTTCACAAAATATGTCTGACAAGAGGATAAAAGGACTGACTGAGTATGATTGTACGCCGCTATTATATAATTACACCTATTTCATTAATAATATAGGTTAAATTGAAGCGTGACTTGAGGCCGAGTGGTTGAAAATGTCTCACTTCACGTTGCCAAGTTGCGTCCCTTAGTAGTGCCAGGATCTCCTTACCGAACCCTAAGGTATTGATAATGGTCTAAGGTGAGATTGTTCCTGCCTTGCGAATTGGTTGCTATACGTGTTGCATATACTTGTTGCAAAGCTATATTTCTTACTCTTGCAACAAGTATACTAAACAGCCTCACTCGAAGATTCAGTCACGACGATCCTTGACAGCTTATGGTCGTAAATTGTTGCAAGTGTTGGCCCGGAACTTCAAGTGAGGCACGTTCTCATATAATTGCCGTGTATCAGTTAGATTTCTATACCATGCTGACACATTTATGGAAATGGGTACCTTAAAACCACTTGAGTAACGCTTTCATCTGACAATGTCGTTAGAGGCGCCCATGATGTCGTAAATTTAGTTTTTTTCTGCATTTGACTTTTGTGTTGCAATAATTTTACTTAAAGAACGAAATTGAAATATTTTGAATATTGTCAGTTTTAAATAATTAATATAAAATACAAAAGCCTTAGAATATTTAACTTACAAAAAAATCAAACCACCTTAATACTTTTTAACAAATTCCTAGTCCTATACAACACTCAATTCGCAAATGCGGCCTGATATTACTGTCGAAATAAGTCTGCCTTATTGACAGGACCTGTGAAGATCCTGGTTAGAATAGGAGTGAGTGAGTGAGTGAGTATGGTTTTACGCCGCTTTTAGCAATATTCCAGCAATATCAAGGCGGGGGACACCAGAAATGGGCTTCACACATTGTACCCATGTCGGGAATCGAACCCGGGTATTCGGCGTGACGAGCTAACGCTTTAACCACTAGGCTACCCGACCGCCCGGTTAGAATAGGAGATAATGCTTGTCTTAAGAGGCGACTAACGGGATCGGATGGTCATGCTCGCTTACTTGGTTGCATTTTGATGCATGTCATCGGTCCCAATTGCGTGGATCGATGCTCATGATGTCAATCACTGGACTGTCTGGTCCACACTCGATTATTTACAGACCGCCGTCATATTGCTAGAATATTGCTGAGAGCGGCGTTAAACAACAAACAAAGCAAAGCAAACCTTATTGACAGACGTACACATGAAAGAAACCTTCAGCACCGCTTACAATATATTCCCGTGTCAAGTAGCAATTTTGCGAACATGTACTGTATGCATCGGAACCAATTTGTAACACTCTATCTTCCCGGTCAAGTTTCCAGTTACCTCCCTTGCCAAAGTAGACACAATATCTGGATAACAACTTCTTTGTTATCCATAAATTGTGTCTACTTTTTTATCCGTCAACTTCTAAGTAATGCCTATCAAACAATTCAACTTAAGATTGAACATTCAATATACATACACATACATCTTCAAGATGCGGTTAATGCCCCCACGTTAAGATTTGAAAAATGGTTAAATATTTTCATTTTATACATTCTTGACATATGGATATATGTGGTGAGCCTCTGTCTGGTCTGGTTAGTGGAGAGAGAGAGTGAGTGAGTGAGTGAGTTGTCTTAATATTTTGGTTATATCACGGCGTGTCGGCTTGATGTGGGAGGAGAGTTCAAAGTGCTGACAATCTTGTACATTTTGCGCTTTTGTGAAACCGACGAGCACGAGTCAGATGCTGGTGAACAAAGGATCTTAATCAGGAAGAACATGGGATTCGAACCCACTCTGCACAGCAAATTGCGGATCTGGGCCATCCGTGCCTTGAAGTGCCTTGGGAGAAATGGACATATCTCTCGATGTCATTAGTTTAAATACATCGAAGGATTTATCCTGTTTATGAGACCTTGGGTTAGCAAACGATGAAAGTGTTTCGGTGAGCTCATTTATTAATTTGTTAGTACCGAAACATTCCCCGACCTAATCTCAATGGTGGCGCATGCTAGTATATGACACATGTTTATGTTGTTGTTTATGTTTCAGGGTGAACTTACTACAACAGTACAACAACTTCTCGACAGATTCAACAACTTTCAGACATATGTTGAACATGAAATTAACAAACTGTGGACGGCATTAAAATCAGTAAGTATTTCTAGATTGTTTTTTTTGTGTTTTAACCCTGCACCCAGCAATATTCTAGCTACATGACGGCGGTCTGTAAATACCGTATTCGACGTAATAAACGCCCCGCTCTAATAAGCGCCTACGGCGATATTTGCTAATATATTGGCTAGTGAACAATCCCAATTAGCACCCGTTCCGATTGAATGTACACAAGACTTATTTATTCGTGTATAATACGTGTGCTATATGCATCCTTAATTATGGAAATTAAATACTGAAAAAATATATTTGTCGTATATAAACATTTCAGGCTGTGAACATAAACCACGAAATTTACGATCTTTCAACTCTGTTTTCACCGAAATAATATTCTAATAAGGCCCCCTTATTCTAACTTTGAGAGCGCCCTGTGCGCTTATTACGTCGAATACGGTAATATAAATTGTATCAAAGAATATAGTGATTGACATCATGAGCTATGGAATGCGATCTTAGATATTGAGGTGGCTGACATGTTGTGTATGTTTTAGACTGGGCCTAATGGATATGTACACCCAGTCGACCTTCAACCCACCAAGGCAAAGGTCGAGGTCAACGCTGCCAAGGATAGCGCCACTTACACAATTGAATACAAAGCCATTAAGGAACCACGAGTTATCTGGAGAGTTAATACAGAACCTGCAGGTAGGTGACGCTTTGAAAACTATGGCATTCTGTATTTCATTTATAAAGCTTTTTGCCTAATTCGTACCTTGCATAAACTAAACGCCATTCTGAAACCTGGTATGGTCTAATACGTTTTTTATTTGGTTTGGAGGATATAATGTTTTTCATTTACGATGTTTCTAACACTGCCTATCTCTGGCTGACCATATACACAAGCGCAGCGTGAAACCATTGTGAATAGAACCAACACGATTGATGGATGTACATATATGTTCATAAGTGAAACATGATACTGAATCCAACACTCTCATCCGATTTCCCTTATCTTTGTTGGGGGCACGGGTGGCCCAGTCGTCTAAGGCCGCGATTCGCTATGCCGAGTTGCGTCCCTTAGGCACGCCAGAAACCTATGATTGTGGGTTCGAATCCCGGTTCGCCCCAATTATGTTTCTAGGTTTGTCAGCACCATACCCGTGCTCACCGAAGTGGTAAACGTCTGAGACCTGCATCGCTTCGGGTTTTCCTCCCACATTAAGCTGACACGCCGTGATATAACTGGAATATTGTTAAAAGCGGCGTTAAACCCAATTCACTCACTCACTTATAAGTTCTGGATTAAGTGATCAGCCAGTATGTCTTGTTGATATTTAACAAATGCAACTTGCAGAAATATAGGCGGAATGCTGAATGGTTTCTATAGAAACATTCTCTCAATAGAGCATTTGGTCATGTCAACGTGGATCTGCCATCAGTATCTAGTTCGGACTAGAGGAAGGGTAACATCAAGAACCATCTTTTAACGTCTTTTGGTACGACGCGGCCGGGAATAGAACTCCCGACGTGCCACTTTAAGACGGGGGCTAAGTGAATGAGGAATTAACAGTTAATGACGCATTATATAGTATTTCAGTCGTATCACGGTGTGTCAGCATAACATGAAACTGACGTAGACATTCACCATTATGGCAAACCCATTGTGCTGACAAATTTGCACGTTCATAACATCAGCCGACACTGTATGAAAATAATTCTGTTTCCAACTATAGGTAACAGCAAAGCGCAAACGAATCTCAAAGACACACCGGGCTCGCTAGATGGCGGTTTGTACATACTTGGGACTACCCATCCTCGAGTATCCGGGGTATATGTGCACACTTAGGCGGTGCGCTCCTGAGATTGCGGTCTTTCCCCCCCGTAACTTTGCATGTGTGTGTTGGAGGCCGTTAAGGCTTCTATCACGGGTAAAAGATCTCAATCAAATGCACCCATCCTTGAAGAATTCCGGACCATTTTGGCAAATAATGCAAGCCACGGGATCTACTAATCCGCTGATGACATTTTTTACCGTTTAACATTGAATAAGACATTTATGTTTTTGCTTTGGACAATACGCTTTAATATATCAATCTTAACATCCCGATGCAAAAATCGAATTTTAAATCGCTAATTATTCCGTTTCATTTTGGTTTTAAAATTTATTTAATATCCATTTCAAGCAGAATTGAAGAATTCTGTTCAACATTTTACAAAACTATTGTCATTCCGCTGACAAGAGTGAATGCAGAAATTTTCTTTGTAATCACGGAATGTTTCATCGACTGACCCGGAATTATGGACATAGCAGTGCACTCTCCGGGTATTCTTGGTGGGGAGTTTGCGTAGTGTGCATTGTGAACATACAGTCGACCCAGGTTATATCAGAACGGAAAGATCCAAGCAATACTCGACAGCTTTGGGCACTGAAAGATAGCATTGAGCTGACAGTCAGGGCGCTGTTTTAAAAAGCGATCTCAGTAGCGCTACGACTGTCGTACGTCTAACGTATTGGGGTTACGATCGTCTTAGCACTCATATCGCTTTTTGGAAACAGGTCCCAGAGCCCAGGGCCCTGTTCCACAAAGCGATCGTAGCGCTAAGATGATCGTAACTCCCATTCTTTAACATAGACTTACGACAGTCGTAGCACTACAATTGCTTTGTGGAACGGGGCCCAGTATGTCAATGTTCACGATATCAAAGGTCGCCTGTATGTTCATGATGGCAGGTGATGTAGAGCTCTGCGAGCTGGCGCCTCCTTGCATCGTTATATTGCACGTGTCTCTATCTAACTCCTGTCTGCCAGAACCATCTCTTGCAGTTGTTAGCAGCCTAATACATGTATACTTGTTTTGAAATACGTTTTAAACCGTGAGGATCAGGGTTGTATTGGTCTTCAGCAACCCATGCTTGCACTAAGAAGCGACTAATTGGATCCGGTGGTCAGTATCGCTGACTTGGTTTGTGCATATCATGGTATCCCAATTGCGTAGATCGATACTCATGTTGTCAATCACTGGCTTGTCTGGGCCAGACTCGGTGATTCACAGACCGACGTCATATAGCTGGAATATTGCTGAATGCGGCGTTAAACAACAAACAAACAAATATTTATTGCATAATGTATCCTCCCTCGTAGAAATATACTGCCCTTGTCAACAATAATAACGTACCTCAGTGATTCACTTCCATGGCAACATATAGTAATATTTATCCGTTTTTATCGACATATTGCATTATTTCAGTTAACCGTCGCCATAGCAACCTTATGCTTCGGATAAATATCGCCTTAGCAGCATACGACATCATTTTCCATCACCGAAGCAATTAATATCACACTGACTTCATCCCCGCAGCACCAGGGGCGGTGGAGGAGCCGAGTAGTTCCCCGCCGTGATATTGCGGGAATATTGCTAAAAGCGGCGTATAACCACACTCACTCACTCACCATTGCATCATCTCGCCGTAACATCAGTCATTTTAACCGACCTCATGTACAATTCACGTCTACCAAGTTGCATACGTCCGACTTGAATATTCACAGGATGCAATGTGTTGCATGCAAAAAAGTATATACAACTAGTTGTACCGTGTAAATGCCCCTTTATGCATCGTTTTTGCAACCCGCTATTTCATATCTCTCAAGTGTTGCAGCCAGATATAAACAACAAACACACAATGTGGCTTCCCCCTCATATTCAGATGATGACGTCACTTTCGAAACGAATATTTCATGGCGAATGTTGTCCAGGGTCCTTAAAGAATAATACCCCGGATAATAGAGGATTGAACAACACATTCACACATTCACTCTTACATGTCCCTAGTAATACAACCCGCGAAGGGCCGGGGTAGAATAGGTCTTCAACAACCCATGCTTGCCGTAAAGAGCGACTATGCTTGTCGTAAGAGGTGACTAACGGGATCGGGTGGTCAGACTCGCTGACTTGGTTGATGCATGTCATCGATCCCAATTGCGTGGATCGATGCTCATGATATCAATCATTGGAATGTCTGGTCCAGACTTGATTATTAAAGACCGCCGTCATATAGCTGGAATATTGCCAAGTGCGGCGTTAAACAACAAACGAACCACCCAACCAACCAGCCCTAGTAATACATTGAGGCGATACTAGCATATAAACTGTATGGCAAAAGTAATTGTACACTTGAAAATTGGATTTGAACAAAAAACTCAAAGCGTTATCAAAACGTTATCAGGCTAAAAACTCCAAAACAGAACCGGGATTCGAACCCACAGTCATAGGTTTCTGGCGTGCCCATGGGACGCAACTCTGCAGTGCGAATCGCGGCGCTTTAGACGACTGGCCACCCGTGGCCCCAGTACGTCGTAGACATACCGGAAGAGAAGTTACATAAATAAATTAAAGATACAAAATATTCGTAAATTTCTGGCTGATGCCAAACCTGGGTGTATGAGTGAACCCCGAAGGCAAGGGGTGAAGCCAGTTCGTAGTGTCATTCCGCTGGAATATCACTCGAGTATTGCTAAAAGAGGCTTCTGGCATCACTCACTCACTCATTTGTACAAACACAAAAAGGGCAAGTACACTTGACTCCAGCAGTAGGATCAGGATGTTGTGCGAGTAGCCGTCACGTGACAATAACAGCGTGGCCTCATTCGTGGCGATCTATCATCTATGGCATGGTGTGATGTACAGGGCGACTGTAAGACAATATGTGACCGGACATAACGTGTGTCTTCGTGTCTCGTACAGGAGAGTCATATAGCTCAAGGCTGAAACTCAGGTTTATTTTGCCTTAGGTGTTAAAATCTGGCTTCTGTTCACTCAACAACACTCCGAGGAATGAAATGATAAGGTGAAAACGTTATGTTAATCTGGCGTTTTACCGACATCTTGGTTTATCTACTCCAAATGGAGCTGAGAAGGTAGTTTGAGTTAATACTGATCCATTGATCAGGGAAATAATGCTTTGAGCATGCTCCTCTGCTGTGTTGAGTGAGTGAGTGACTATAGTTTTACGCCGCAATATTACCCCGAGTGCTGTACCCATGTGGGGAATTGAACCCGCGCATTCGGCGTGACGTGCTACCCTACCGCTCCCTTATTCGTGGAGTGATCAATTATCAATATTATGTTTTCAAAGAGTTGATAAATAGAGTGACATTTATATTTAAATTCCAATTTCATCTTGTTTAAAAATGAACGGTGACAGTATATTTCTTTAGCTCTATGCACAATATTCACAATAGTTGATTAGTTTGTTGAATTCTAGCATCTTCAAAACCCTTCATCCAAGTAGTTATTGGTGATATGCATGCATTAAAAGTGGCTTCACTTTACCAATTCACAGCTATTAGCGACGAAGGCATCATCACCAAGGTCTTCAGGAACGGGATGGGGAAGACCACCCTCCGTATCCACCCTTCCAAGGAGATTGTCGCCTCCGTCATCGTCGACCACGTCACCTTCGTCCTCAGCTTCAGACCAAACCCCAACAAAACCGCCGAAGTCGTCCTCCGCCCCACCAACTTCGACGTCGACACCGGCCCCCACGGCAGCTTCAACTACTTCAAGAAGAAGGCGATGCAGATAACAGTATCCTCTCCCAAGTTCTACCCCGGGTTCACCTCCCCCAATGATTACCAGTGGAGCTTCTGGATGGCCAACACTACCGCCTCACCCCCAGTCATAGAGGAGTACCCCCAGTGGAGAGAGATCCAAGGCGGCGTGGTCAGGGTGGGGCCCATCAGAACCCTGAAGAAGAACGACATAGGGTCTGAACTAAAGATTACCTATGAACTGATGACGGACAAAGGGGACTATGATGGCATCCTCATCTTCTCTAAATATTACACGGCTACAGAGCGGGATTCAGTCCTCACTGGGCTCACAGAGATGAGATATGTATTTGTTCATCGCTCAGACAGATTCGACCCCTTCCCGAAAGGCTTCATCGCCTTTGTACGCCGTGACCCGCCTCTCAAGCCCTGCATCTCCAACCAGACTTGTTCTATAGCCTGCCACGCTGTTGGTGTTGTCCCAGAACGCATCCGATTGTACAAGGTAAATCGAAGACCTCAAAATCGAGGGGTATTAATATTCGTTTCTCTATCACAAGAATAATACTATGATTCCCGTCTGTTAATCAAAATGAACCATTTCATAATTTTCAATTTATTATATATTCGTACCGCTATCTTTAATGGTTCATCTATCTAAGCATGGAAATAGGATAAAAATGGCGGCGATGGTACCACTAAGAATTAAAGAGTTGGCTCCGCACACCGAACGCTTGGATTAAATTCTCCACATGGGAACAATGTGTGAAGCTAATTTCAGGTGTTCTGCAGCATAACATTGCTGAAATATTGCTAAACGCGGCATAAAACCATACTCGCTCACTAGTTACGACCATATTGTTTGGAGCATCTCCACATATACAAAGGGAGATAACTCTGTGCAATCCGTGTTGACATGGTTAATCCTGAGAAAGACAGTGAGAAAGAGGTATGACTGTATTACGTTCTTATATGATAGTTAACAGTGGCCAGGATGCGTAAGGAGCAATGATGAACCTACTTTTTTGTCACTGACTGGGTGATAGTTTAGCCCAGTGGTTAAAGCGTTGTCTAATCACGCCGAAGGCCCTGGTTCGATTCCTCATATGGGTTCAGGGGCGGCGGGCTAGCCGAGTGGTTAAATCGTTCGCTCGTCACGCTGAAGACCCGGGCTCGATTCCCGACATGGGTACATTGGGTGAAGCTCATTTCTGGTGTCCCCCGCCGTGATATAGCTGGAATATTGCTAAAAGCGGCGTAAAACATCACTCACTCATATGGGTACATTGTGTGAAGCTCATTTATGACCTTGATGTTGCTGGAATAATTCTAATAGTGTCGCCAAACCATACTCACTCACTCTGTTACTGTCTAATGTCAAGTACTAATGTGTATATGTATAATGTATATTCTTGTATATATAGCTCATTTGGAAACGGTACACACGACTGTAAAAAGCTAAACTTCTCCAATTTTGATAGGGACATTTTTATCTTTCCATGATACTCAAAAACGATTCTCATAATGTCAAGTGTATATTTAGATAGAATGACATATCTGATTATCTCTATCAAAAGGTTGAATAAAGTCTTTGATAGGCATTTAGAAGTTGGAAGAACATAAATACATGACATTTCCTTATGGATCACTTCCTCTTATGTATTCTTCTAAATGGATGACCTTTTCGTTACTGCGTTTGCAAGATTCACCTTTAAAACGTCGTTACAGAGTACAAAAGAAGTTGTCATCCATAAAGTTGTCAGTTGAAATTGGGTTTAACGTCGCGTCCAAGATTATTGCGCTTATATAGCGACGTGTGTGTGCTTGTACTAGTCCGGACTGATGCCGATTTATAGTGCTAGCACACTGAAATATCATGCCGCAGTTTAACATGGATACCCCACTCAGACACAGTATACTGACTCCGAGCTGACCAGTCCTTGTTTAAGCCCTTTAATGCCGAGCGCCAGACAGGTTAACAACAAGTACCATCTTTTAACGTCTTTTGGTATGAAGGGACCGGGGATCGAACCCCGGACCTTCCGCTCTGCGGGCGGACGTTCTACCACTAGACCACGGAGGCGGTCCTTATATGTTAAGATGAGTTATTGATGTCAACTTCTGTATTATGAGGAACACAACGTTTCGGAGTATATACTTACTCCTTCATCACTTCTAAATGCCTTTCAAAGACTATTAACTTGTGAAGTACATTTTAAAGCCCCCACAACCAGAATAATAAATTACTCTACATGTACTCCAGCGTTCATCACACTGACGTCGTGTTCTAGGTTCAGATTGACAAGTCCCTGATGGAGGTGAAGCTGCCGAAGTTGGAGGTGCGCGAGCCGTACATGCTTTACAACCACTACGGTATCAAACAGATGATGGAGGAGGATGAGGGGGAGTATGTATGCGTGGCCTTCAGCGGCACCAAACACACGGAGATGAGAACGACGTTATTACTCAGCGAGCCCGTGGAGTACGTCAACAGCTCTTCCGGCGTCGTGTACGGACAAGAGTCGGTAAGTACCACTGAACTTGCATCACTTCGGACTTTCATCCCACATTAAGCTGAACGCCACAACGCGTTGATCATAGTTCCGTCTCATAGTTGTGCCAGGCTCTGCTTTTCGTAGGTTCGATTCCCAGATTGGGTTTGATAATGATCCTTGGGTTTGTAATCAACCTTCCCATACCAAGGCGACAAACGTATGTTGATGTTGGTGTTGTTTATTCCCTAATGGGGCCACCGGTACATTATACAAGTATTCACGCACACACATATAGATTTGACAGAGAGCGCCAAAATGGTTGCCTAATGATGTACAATAGTGGACGGTATGACACCCGCGTCACCTCGGCCTTACCCCACATAGCGAGTCCCCCCGAGTCATTCTTCCCTATAGTGGATAGTTTCTATTGAATTTATTCACTGCTTTGCTGATCAAGACCTAATTATTTACAGGCCGCCATGATATCGTTTGAATATTGCTGACTGCGGCGTTAAACAACAGTTCTATTGTTCTACACAACGTTTATATGTTTCCGTCACAACCAGAAAAGGTTGTCACATAGTATACTAGTATATGTTCAAATACCAAAACATATTTGTGAACTTGTTGCTGCAGGTGACTGTGACATGTGCCGCTAGGGGGCGCCCACTTCCCCACGTGACAATGTTCGAGAACTACGCCTACCAGAACGAGATCAACACCATGCCGCCATATTACAGAGTCGAGCGAACCGTCAGCCGAATTCGTGGCGAACACATCGCTACCATGACAGTTATAATAAACCGCCAGTATATGCCTGTTCATCTGTGGAGAATCATATGCATGTTTGATAACCCGTTCCAACTCTCCGCCACTGACTTCGAAATTAAGACCAACGCTCCCGGCCCTCTGATGGGACCCCGCCCAACCTGGGGCAATCCAGTCCAACCCCCAAGGACTGTGTAATGTCGGCACAGGGAACAACAGTTTCTTTAGAACGGGATAATCAATACTTCACGGACTTGTATACACGACGATCCTTCAACGCCTGTCAATACACACGACCGATTTGAGGTGCAGTGGTCACACACACCTATTTCAAGTCAAGCAATAGAATGATAGGCCTTGTGCGGATGTCAAATGAGCGCTACTCCGTGTATGAATGTTGTCAGGAATACACGCTGGTTTGATCTGCATTCGTCACCCCTCGCCCCTTTCCGTAACTGCTATTCGGCTTGTCCCGGAATAACACGATTTGGTCACGAATGGTTTGATCTGGTCTGCATCCAGTCGGTTGATTGGTTGGTTAAAAATTTAGACACACTGCAAGACGGTTGTGTGTATTCATGGGTTAGAGAGGAACGTAGTGTACATAAGCCAGTGAAGCAAGGACGATAGAAACTGTCTGCAATATATTTGTGACCATTGCCTGAAGTTTCTGTCCATGAACCACCTCAGGGCATGGAGATTGACACACGTTGGATTGGGTTGGTTAGAAATACGAAATCAAACTTGTTTTCGTACAGGACTTAGATTAACACGATAACTTTAAAACGGTCACTTGAATTTATTTATTGTTCTTTATCTAAAAAAAACAACTAGATAATTAAAACACACTACTTCACATTGGTTATACATTCATTGCCCTGTGTAGCATGCTTCCATGTTAAATATTGATGTCTTGTGGTGTTCTGTGTACATATATTGAAAAAATTAAAAGCATTCGTGTCATTTGTTAATCAAAAACACACATTTAATGTAATAGCGTTATCTTATGAAAAATAAAAGGCATGGGGCGATTACTTAGATTTTGTTCTTTCGTGTATTTACATAATATACTGATGGAAAGAAATAACGGAACAGACAGCAAACTTGCAGAACAGTCCCGTTTACGTTCTACGTCCAGAGCCATGTTCCACAAAGTGATCTTAGCGCTTGTTCGTAAGTCTATTTTAAAGTGTGAAAGTTACGATCGTCTTAGCGCTAGGTCGTAAGTCTATGTTAAAGTGTGAAAGTTAGGATTGTGTTTTTATTCGTTTCTCCAATCACATCATTAATAAGGAAATCCCTCATTCCTGGAGCTCCTTTTGGGGGGATCACTGTATATATGTATGCGAATACATAGATTAATATCCCCCCTTTCCTGAAAAGTGATGTCAATGAGAACGAAGCCGTTCAAATGACCTTGATATCAATGTACATACAGATTCAAGCACGGTACCTCGCTTTCCCTCATCGTCATATGGTAGTCCCTCTAGCTCTCTCAATAACGATACACATGCGCGAATAATCATTAAATGAGACAGAGCTCAATCAGGAAAACAGAATACTGCTACATTAAGTACAGTTAAGTACCACTAACCCTAACGATACCATTCCCAGCCAATTACTCCGTATATACATACATACATACATACATACATACATACATACATACATACATACATACACACACATCGAATGATCCGGATGAACGAATCAGTGGTACAGGGCTTTACCCTTTGTATCCAAGGATGCGTTCCTATCGGAAGTATCCGGAATGTGGAAATTCCGGGTAAACGGGTTCCGGACTATTAACGTATTCTTTATTGGTGTACATGCTCGATCTTTTCAGCAATATCATATATAGCATAAATACAAAATACTGATTGTTTGTATTTTGTCTTGGGCGTTGCATCATAATATGATTGTTCTCTGGATATAATGAACAAACCCTTTTGCTTCCATCTGAAAGGATTATGTCTTGACGCAACAACGTAAAAATGTCCTTTCTCTAAGAAAACTAACAAAAATGCTAAAATATAATTTTAAAAATTATAAAAACTTTGACACAAAAAAAAGTAGCGCCGGTATGGTGCTCACAAACAAAGAAACATAAGAGGGTCATATTTAAGATTCGACCCCACAACCAGACGTTCCTGACTAGTCAATATGATCATGATTATATTGCATCTGCACGTCCTCAAAGGGTCAACGCATGTATCAACTATTTTCCCCTAATGGGCATCTTCAAAACAGAGCTTTAAGGGCAAAGAACAAAGACAAAAGTCCTAACAGGAATGAAAATGTAATGAATCCCGCCGAGCACGTTGTGTGGGTGGTCGTGTGACTCGGGTGGCCAGTAGGTTTAGGGGTGGATGGGGTCACCACTAGAGAGAGGTTCCCCATCCGCTGGAAGACAGAAGCATATGGGGATATCTTCCTATAAAACACAGGGGGCTGACCTACCGGGGCGTCGACCTTGACCGTTTGTGATCCAGGGTATTCCTTGCCAGACCAAAGGAAGAGCCATGTGGAACTTGGGTCATTCGGCAGATAGACGTCCCACGTTGTTTGATTGGCTAAAAATACTGGCGCGACTAAAAGGTCATCTCCGTACATGTACTGGTAAGTGACGTCATACGTCATTACGTCATCTTCGTAGTTTAAGAATAGAGGGCGCTGAGCAGGGATTCCTGTCTGTGACGTCACGCGGACAACACTTTTGCTGTAGTTTTTCAACAGGGTGAACATTTGACAGAGACGGGCTATCTTGAGAGTAATCCACTTGTTGGTGTAGAACTGAACATTGGCAGTTGGTTGGTTACCTAAACAAAATCGAAAAAAATGGAAAGAGAAAGGGAAAATGAACATACTTTATATCTGATGACTTGATATTCTTCACGAATCGGTCGATTTCAGTCGTTTCATGATTGTGTGATTTCCGCATAGGAGGCATTGCAACTTTCAGGACAGATTCAATTTAACTCTACGGATCCTGGAAATAGTGCAAGTATGAGAGTAACAACTACCCCAATACCAGGACACAATTACCCCCTAATAAAATAGTGTTTGGTGCTACCTTCGTGAGTTCGGAACATGGGCCCAAACACTGCATGTTCTGCCCCTCGCAGCAACCTCTCCTCAGTCCGGACCAGTCCCATTGCCTGTGAGGTAGTGTAGCCCCCTATGTCGAAATGGGTGAGTCCGTGTGACGTTATTCCCATCGATAGGGCAGCGGGTATGGTGGAGGCGAGTCCATCTGCATAACTGAAGTCAACGTTCTGGTCCCCAGCCCACATCATGACGCTGTAGTTCCCTGTTCCTAAACCGCAATAATAATAATAATAATAATAATAATAATAATAATAATAATAACAACAACAACAACAACAACAACAACAACAAAAAACATAAACATAAACAACAATTATTTCTTTCTTCTTAAAATCCACCTTGCAGCAATGTCATTTTTGTGGCAGGCAATCGTTTTTAACAGTATAAAGCATATTAATTATTTAAAAATTTGTTCAAGAATTTTCGGGGACAAAATTCAAGACGTATGAAACCCATGAGCACGGTTTTGGTGCTGACAAACCTAGAAACATAATCAGGGCGAACCTGTATTCGGAACCGGAACCGAATCCGCTGCCTAACGAAACCAACCGAACTGGCAAATAAAGCCAACAATCTGTCTTCAAATTTACGTCGTATCTAGACAGACTGTTACTAAAATAGATTTGATAAAACAGCCAATAACATGTTGGTCAAATATAATATACACGTGAGTCATATTGCCAATCGGAACAAATTTGCTTTTGTTTAAATATACTTTTGCATCACTTCAAAAGTAGGTACAAATATACGTCTGGATGGTATTATTATTAACGTGAGGAAATGAGTTTGCATGACATATATACTTGGGTGTATATTACTTACGTGAGAAAGATTACGTACCTGATAATAATTGTTTGTCGGCACTATACCGGTGTATGTGGGTTTCACCAGTACTAAAGTACATTAAAACCCACAGTATATAAACTACTACAAAAAATGTTTAATAACACTTTTCATTTGACTACAGTTAATCTATCATGCCATGACAGTTTAACTATATGCATGTGAAAAAAATCGGATATTCTTTTACTTCTTTTGAGTGGCATAATATTATTTTTGGAGACATGTACGTTTTGACGTCGAAAATACCTTCTATCTTGAGTTTTGTTTGTTTGTTTGTTGTTTAACGCCGCTCTAAGCAACACTCCATATATATGACGGCGGTCTGTAAATAAGTGAATCTGGACCAGACAATCCAGAGACTGACATCATGAGCATCGATTCATTTAGGATACGATGACATGCATCAACCAAGTCAGCGAGCCTGATCACCAGATCCAGTTAGTGATGGACTGAAGACCAATAATTATTCTAACCCGGATCTTCACGGGACAAGCATGGGTTGCTGAAGACCAATTCTAACCCGGATCTTCTCTGGGACAAGCATGGGTTGCTGAAGACCAATTCTAACCCGGATCTTCACGGGGACAAGCATGGGTTTCGGAAGACAAATTCTAACCCGGATCATCACTTGGGACAAGCATGGGTTTCGGAAGACAAATTCTAACCCTTGGCCTATCTTGGGGAACAGTACCTGTGAATCCTGCCCTCATAAAGAACACAATATCGCCTTCAGTGCCCGTCTCCTGTAGAGCCTCGCGGTTCATTCGGGCCCACAAGGTAGGCCATTCGTTGTGCCGCATCGTAGCTGTGCCGTTGTGTAACGTGGCATACGCTGGGGTGTACTCCCCGAAGTCGGCCATCCAGCCACCAAACCCAAAGTTTATCACATTCTTGATCAGTATCTCTGAAACAGACAGCACGTATCTAAGTTTCAGTGTAAGCTGTACATTGCTCCCGACAGCCGTAAGCATGTTTCACACACTTACGTACCGAACAAGTAAGAGTTCTGTCCCTCAGCCTTACCAGGATCCGATGCATGTCCATACATTCACCAAACTGATATACTTTTGCGCCCTGCGTCTTTGGACAAACATTTTGGATTCACCAAAATCAGCCGTAACCCTACATTGTATGTAAATAGTGAACATGGTCCATAAATCACTTTGCAAGTGCATGACAGCCTTCAGCGTATGCTGTGTAAATCAGGGAGTACGCATGCGCCATTGATGCAATATATTAATACTACTATGAGACATATGCATGTTTACCAACCAACCAACCAACCAACCAACCAACCAACCAATCAACCAACCAACCAACCAACCAACCAGCCAGCCAGCCAGCCAGCCAGCCAACCAACCAGTCAATCAATCAATCCAGACGCAAGCTAACTATTTACAACAATTTTAACAGTCTCCAAGACCCCGAACGAAGCAGCTCTGATTGAAGGGCGTTGCTAGGGATACGCACCGTTCTTGTACCACTGGAAGGCTGCAGGGTTTGTCAGGTCTATGGTGCCACAGAAGAACTCCCCGAAGTTCTGCACCAGCGTCTTTCCCTCCTTGTTCTGGATAAAGTAGCCCTTAGCGTCTGCTTGCTTGAACAACGTTCCATTAGCATTGAGGTTCGGGTTGACGTACACGAAGACTCGGATGCCGCGGGCCTTGAGTGTGTTGATAGTCTTGTCGAGACCTGACAATAAAGATAAGCTCTTAAAAACAACGTTCACTTTTTTAATGCGGAGATCCCTTAATCGGAATGGACTTTGGGACCAGATAGCTTTGTCTATTTTGTGAAACCCGTTAATCCCGATTTTGCAGTTCTCACCTCAACCTCAATTAACAGATGTCCTGATTAACGAATCAGGTACTTTGACATGTCTCTTTTTATACATATAAACATTCAAAACAATACTTGTCCGGAATTAACAGGTTCCGGACTAAACAGGTTTTACTATATAAGGAAATCCGAAATCTTGCCGATTTTATCTAGGATGTCCAGATTAAAGAAGGTACAGTGTTGTCAATGTTAACAAAGCACCACCGACACCTTTCTTGTGATACACCGTTCATTGCCAGACCCTCAACTGAAGTCACATAAAATATTAGCTATGGAACACCATCTCTAGTTGTAGTGAAACCAATAAAGGGCGACATATCCAACCGAGAAATGCATGTTAATATATTTGAAACAAACGGCAAACATTTAATGCGTATGTGCCCAACGTACACAACGAGTTAGGGCTTTAGGTGTTTAAACAGCATTTATGACAGCCAAGCCATGCACGTCATGCACACGATCCTGTTTCTTAGTAATACTATATATTATCGGCAGATCAATATACAATCACTGTGGATCATGGATTACCTGGGTACTTCTCGGGGTTCCACTTCCAGTCCCAGAACACTCTCTGTCCGAATGAGGTGTGAATAGTTCCGGACCAATCTTGTATCCATACGCCAGTTACCTTTACACCATGAGCTTCCGCCAAATTTATATAATCCATCATCTTTAGATAAAATCACATAGAGTGTCAATAATGAAAGTAGTGAAATAAAAACGACTGTAAAGGAGGAATGATATATGTTATGTCATGAAGTATTGTAGCATTGTTTTATAAAGCATAATATTTATCACATGAAGTTATACCAATACCTTTGACCGAGACTGGGCAAAGACCGTAGAGTTTCTGGACAATTGGGTTTCCAGAATTAAAATGGGACGTGTTCCATACTTTCGCAATTCTTTTCAGTTGGCTCGAGTCCATCAGGACCTTCGCCAGCACTGTCAACAATCCATAAAGGAAATAGTTTCGAGCACGTGACTATTTCACGATATAACCCAACCTGGCGGCAGCCGCAAATCTTTATACAACAGTTCAAATACAATTATTCTTTCCATTGACTTTTGTCTTCAAGTCAAAGTGTATACCTAATTTGTGTTAAGCGCATGATAACTGGTTCTATAAAATAATATGTTTTATTTCTTTGTTTGTTCTGTAAATATTTTATCCTTTGTTGTTTCACGAAACACTGAGCAATATTCCAACTACATGACGGCGAGTCTGGACCAGACAATCCAGTAACTGGCATCATGAGCGTCGATCTATGTCATTGGAATACGGTGACATGTATCAACCAAGTCAGCGAGCCTGACCACCCGATCCCGTTTGTCTCCAGCATTGGTCGCTGAACAGCAAATTTAACCTGATCTTTACGGGTCATATATACGCGTTGTCATGTAATACGATATATACAACAGGTGGGACCCGTCATGAAGCAGTTTACAGTGAAACCACGCTATGTGCATTCGTGACCAACGCGTGTTATTCCGGGACAAGCCGAATAGCGACTCGTGCCCCTCACATGGCCATTTATGCGCCCGGGATCCGTCTTAGCGCAAACGGGCATACCAGAAACAATTGTCAACCAATTGCGTAATGGTTCACATATATTTCCCCATATATTATATATATTTCAGATGCAATTTAAAGCACATCGGGACATGCGGAATTATACAGTATGATTGAACACGTGAAACTGTGTCTTTGGTATATTTTTAGATGCAAGATATATGTAAAATCAAAAATTATTTCTGAGGGATCTTTGACGAAGAATTTTAAATCATACGCGCATTCTGATTGGTTTGTCGTATTTTCGCACATAACATTCATCGATATGGGGACGAGTCATCTTGCAGGTTACGGAAAGGGGCGAGTGGTGACGAATGCGCTATGTGCCTACTCCATTGTACCCCATGGTATTGTGTTGGTTGCGGAGGAAGCCGAGTGGACCGAAGCGCGTACCTTTTGAGTGCCACCTTGAACACCGATGACAGCGCCATCATAGATCCAGTCCGGTAGTTCAGGAACTTTACCCAACATCGATATCAATCCGCTGACAAGATTCTTCATAGAGGAGGCTGTAGCAAACCTCATTGTACTGATTGGAGTCTCGTAAAACGAGATCTCGTGGAACTTGTTACTGAAATCGAGCTTCGCGTAGTTACTTCCGGTGTAATGAAAGTAGTACTTGCGTGTGCTGATGAAAGTTGGTTGAGGGAAGTAGGTGGTGTGGTAGTCCCCGCCACCGCAATCACGGTTGTTAGCAAAAAACGTGGCCAGGGTGCTGAGATTTCTCCCCACGCCTACAAAGGAAAGTTGAACTGTGGTTAACGTTACCCTTCATGACGTCATCGGTAGAACCTCCCTCCTTCTACTCTCAACACATGGCGACAGGTAAAGCTGTGGTAGAGTCACCTTCATGACGTCATCGGTAGAACCTCCCTATCTTCTTTTGCCAAAACGAATAGCAATTCCAATACTACGATTTCGAACCTGTAATCATAATTTACCTAATGAGACTGGCCGATGGAAAAATATTCCAAAGGAAAATAGAACTTGTAAATTATGTAATTCCCCATCTATTGCTGATGAATTTCACTACTTATTCAGATGTATTTATTTTAAAAGAGAGAGGCGAACATTTCTCTCACCATATTATACTGAATGGCCAAATATTATAAAATTTGTAAAACTCTTATCAACAACAAACACACAGGGTCTAAAAAAATTATCGAGATTTATTGTAAAAATGTCCATTAGTATTAAAAATGCTAGGTAATCACATGTTGTTATTAATTGCCATCTTGTCTGCTTTTTGTACATATGCATAATTATTTATTGTAATATGCTCTTGTGCCACCTTTTGTGGTTTCTGAGAATAAACTGATTCTGATTCTCAACACATGGCGACAGGTAAATCTGTGGTAGAGTCACCTTCATGACGTCATCGGTAGAACCTCACTGCTTCTATTACTCAGCACAACAGAGAACGAGAACAATGAAAAAGTAGTTCTATTAAGTAGCGAATCCTGCTTTCAGTGTGGGATATATGTTACAGTATATATTTGAGTTACCCATGGTATCATCAATATTCGATAGTAAATACATAACACGTGCTCGTGATACAGTAGGAATCGTACAATGGGCTCTGCTTTTCTAGGGATTAAGGAAAGGGTATTGTCGCTTTTAATTACCAAAACGTTCATCTGCCTCAGCGGATGGTTTTGGAAATATGTAAAAAACATAATGTGTTAGGAACATCGACCAAGACTGATCCCAGTCACTGTGAGTGAGTGAGTATGGTATTACACCGCCTTTAGCTTTGGGCTTCACACATTGTACCCATGTCTGGAATCGAACCCGGGTCTTCGGCGTGACGAGCGACCGCTTTAACCACTAGGCTACCCGACCGCGCAAAGTTGAAGTCGAATGATGAATACAATAAACAACGTTTATAACGAACACTCTTATAACGAACTGACCGAAAAACGAACTTATTTATTAGCCCAGGTCATTTGTTGTATATATGCTGTACATATGCTTATAACGAACTACGGTTATTACGAACTAAATTTAGTGGCCCCTTAAGTTCGTTATAACCGTAGTTTACTGTATTATGTTCATTAATGTGATGAATATGAAACTCTTAGATGGAAATATCTTTCGTTCATCAATGAAATATGTAATACACTTAAACCCTCATCAATTACGACATGTGAACGTTGCACTTTATTTAAAACATTTGTTCAGTTTAAGACATAAATGAAGGAAGTTAATACTCTGTATAAAAATGTAGGTTCACCTGATGAAATTGTTGTATCTTCATCTCGACTATAGGCCATTTGGCACAATGATTAATAAACCTGCCTGAGCCTCTTTTAGAAGTATTGTAGTATGACTACGACCCACTTCTTCATGAGCAAGTTCGATCCTTGACCGAGTCACACCAAAAGACGTTAATGGTACTTGTTGTTTGCCTGCCTGGTGCTCGGTTTTAAGGGTAGAATACAAGGAGTGGTCGATTCGGGGACAGTATACTGTGTCTGAGTTGGGTATTCACGTTAGACTGTGACATGATATATCAGTGGGCTGGCACTATAAAACCGGCATCAGTTCGGACTAGTTCAAGCAGCCACACACACACGTGCATGCATATCGTTATATAAACGCAATAATCTTGAATAATGTTAAACCACATTTCACCTGACCTCAATTAATTCATAAACAGGGATGAGACACTAGAAACAAGTGCCTTGGCAGAACTGAAGTCTTATCACTTCATCGTAGAAAATTTAGTATTCTTTGTGAACGCGCTAATCACTCATCAACTCAACTTCCTCTAAGATGTTTTAGCGATACGATTGCGGAATCCGTGAAAGGATATTATCGTTTTGTCCCTCTTTCGGGCAAACGTGAAGTTTGTTTGTTTTGTTTGTTTGTTTGTTTGGTGTTTAACGCCGCTCTCAGCAATATTCCAGCTATATGGCGGCGGTCTGTAAATAATCGAGTCTGGACCAGACAACTCAGTGATTGATATCATGAGCATCGATCCACGAGATTGGGATACGATGACATGCATCAACCAAGTCAGCGAGCCTAACCACCCGATCCTGTTAGTCGCCTCTTACGACAAGCATAGTCACCTTTTACGGCAAGCATGGTTTGCTGAAGACCTTTTACAACCCGGATCTTCACGGGCAAACGTGAAGAAAACTGTGACGATTAATGAAACCAAGGGCAGCAAGAGCAATGTCCCTTCTTGTACCCCCATATAGGTCCTACTCAACAACTGTTACATACGTGTAATGGTAAGACCCCAATGGTTCTACAAATACCTTGCTCTCGCGTCCAGATGGGAAAAGCATGTCCCTTCATGTTAAAGTAGGAGAACTGTTCTCCTCCCCCGTAGATTCTCTCTCCGACCGGCGCCACCAACCTGATCCATACTTGATTGATGTTTCTGCTCATACCCGTCACGTCCAAGTTGAAGCCGTTACCATCGGCATCGCCGCTGAATGTCAACGACAACTGGGGAAAATAAATGTATATATCACGAATAATATATATCATAACCAGTAAACTGACGCTGTGTGTGGCAAAACGTACGTATTCATTATAATGTGTACCACAATCGCCTACGAGAAGTTTTTAGTGAGTTGAGTGAGTTGGTTCAGTGCCTCTTCAACACTATTTCAGTTATACAGAACGACCGAAGGGATGCAGGTCTCAGACGTTTCCCACGAATATAGTGCCGATCGTGACAAATCGAGAATCATAATCAGCGCTTATATGAGGGGGTGGTACTCTAAACACGTTTTTTTCTGTTAAACACAACCTTAAACAGGTTTAGACCTAAACATGTAAAATATATTGGACAAGGAACGCGAGGCAGATAAGGGAAGAAGAAAGTTTTTTTTGTTTTATTTTGTAACGCCGTACTCAGCTATAAAGAAGAAAGAAGAAATATATTTTATCATTATGTCACACACTATATTTTAGATTTCACTTCAGAAATGATTAAAATACTAGAATTTAAAAGGTAGTGTCAAGCCATGCAGGCTTATGAGACACATAAAACCCATTTATCATTCACATAAACTATTATTAATATTAATTATGGTGTCTTTAGTTGCTGTATTTGACACTGTATACAGTAACTAAAGACGTCATAACGAATTCATAATGCCGAAAAGGTTACACTATCCGGTATCTTAATGTTTAGGGTAAGGGATACTACTCTTCTAAGCTTAGTACTTTGATATTAAGTGTCAAAGGGAGGCTACTCTTGAAACCTTAGAGGCCAAACCTTGTTGAAATTTTTAACTGTATGTTTTATTAATAAAGTCACGAATTTAATTTAATGTCATTGCACATCACAATTAATGATATAAAAACATAAAACAGTGTCGATTAACGAATGTCTGTACCAGAAGTTTCATGTGAAATATCTGAGGTGGGTGTTGGAAAAACCCAAATGACTGCTACTGACAGTATACCATCTTCCCGAGGCAAGGGAGTTAACTGACTATCAAAGTACAGTTTCCACCCTTGCCGAACTTGGCTGGACTTTCTAGGCTTGATCGTAGCGCCACCAGTGGCTATTACAAGTTATGTTCCTTCTATGTTCCTCCTATTGACCAGGCTCGCTGACTTGGTTGATGCATGTCATCGATCCCAATTGCGTGGCTCGATGATCATGATATCAATCACTGGATTGTCTGGTCCAGACTCGATTATTTACAGACCGCCGTCATATAGCTGGAACATTGCTGAGTGCGGCGTAAAACAACAAACCAATCCTCCTATTGACCAATCAGATTCAATCACTTGCATTTGCTTCAAACAAAATGGCGGCGCCCAGTCAAGACGATCTGCTTGATAATCAAGGTCCATATTGTAGTAGACCGGGTCCTACCCCGCGAAGTGCATCAAATCACGTAAGCACCTTGATTAAAAGTATGAAAGAATTTGCAAAATATCTGCCGACGTCCAGTTGGCGGTACACATGCTTTGCAAACCCTGCAGTCGACCGAAACGTGCACATTGAAATCCATGTTGTTTCCGAACGGTTGTCTCGTTCGTTACGCGGTTTTGATTGGACTATTCATAGACTCGTTAGTCCAGCCAAAATGTAACTCCATAATTCCAGCCTAGATCGGCAAGGGTGGAAACTGGACTTTTATAGTCAGTTTACTCCCTTGCCTCGGGAAGGTGACAGTATACGGTCTCATGATAGGTCAGTAATAACCATATTGGATTTTTGCTGACGGTATACGGTATATGAGGTTATTAGTTCTGCTCTCTGATCAGTCTCAGTCGGAGGTATAACAACATAGATACAAAGCATCTATAACTGTGATGGATAGAGGCAGTCATAAAATGTCCGAGCTAAGTACAAAAAAACAAACGAAAAACAACTTGTGCTTGAGAGGTTTGAGAGGTAATACGGAAGGAAGGAAGCACCACGGGAGGGTTCTTCTGTTGAACTTATCTAGTGGTTTTAGCAAGAAGAGGTCGTAGGATATGAGGTGAGGTGAGGTGAAATTGGGTTTAACGTCGCGTCCAAGATTATTGCACTTATATAGCGACGTGCATGTACGTGTGTGTGTTTGTGTGGCTGCTTGTACTAGTCCGGACTGATGCCGATTTATAGTGCTAGCCCACTGAGATACCATGCCGCAGTTTAACATGAATACCCCACTCAGACACAGTATACTGACTCCGAGCCGACCAGTCCTTGTTTTAGCCCCTTAATGCCGAGCGCCAGACAGGGTAACAACAAGTACTTGTCAATCTTTCAACGACTTTTTGTATGACGCGGCCCGGGATCGAACCCTGGACCTTCCGCTCTCCGGGCGGACGCTCTACCACAAGACCACGGAGGCGGTCCGTAGGATATGAGAGTGTGTAAAACTAATTTCTAACTGTCAAGGGTTATAAATTGAAAATTCATTGAGAAGGGCTGCACCTGACAGCGACCCAACATTGTTGGGAGGACGGTTACCTGCATGGACTCGTCTGGCACACGTGTCTTAGATTAGGGTTTGAATCTTGAAGGGTGAAGCATTGGATTTAGAAGCTTTACCAGATTTTTATAAACTTGTGCCTCTGTTTAGCTGGTCGTATTTCTAACACGATCCATCTGAACACGAACTGCTTCAAGTATTGGATACTCCCCTTGTAAACGGCACTTCGTGAAGGTTTTGACAATTTGGCGTTCCGTCATAAATGTATTGTCAACAGGTGCTTGCCACTACAGTGTCAACACACGGGCGCTTCATGTTGCAATTCTGAGCTACATGACCGAAACGATGGCACTTGTACTGCCCCAAAACTCGTAGAACGTGCCCATGAACATGGTTGGTGAAATAAGTATTGTTTTACGCCGCTTTTAGCAATATTTCAGCATTATCACGGGGGGACACCAAACATGGGCTTCACACATTGTACCTTTGTGGGGAATCGAACCCGTGTCTTCGGCGTGACGAGCGAACACGTTAACCACAAGGCTACCCCACCGCCCCATGGAATGGAGAATATCAATAGAATAGACTTAGTCGCCTCTTTTTTAAGTCCTCTTAACAATTGTTTAACATGATTTTTCAATACCAAAAATGACGCCCTTTTCTTTCAGATAGCCATTTTTCACTGTGTTTTCACTTTTAGCAGTCACTGATGATGCTTTATCTAAATGAGATGTATTGCGACGTGATGCTAGGTCACCTCGTTGATGCCAATCACTGATTCAACATCATCAATCTTCTGAAACGAACGCGATAGACCGATATGGCTTCACTGCTACAAACTTTAATATGAGTCAGTTGTAGTCAAAGTGCTTGAACAACATTGATAACTCAGTTTTTTGCGGCTTCAACATCACTGTGTTTGCAGTGCAAGGGTTTTAACGACAACATAACGTCATATAGGTATCAGCAAATTCTGCATCGGTCGATGTTGTCAGTAGCCCCGTGGTGCCTGCCTTAGCTGTACAAGCCACGAGCAGTGGGAATCCCGTGCAAATGTAACGCGTTTCTAATATGAATAATTATCAAATTATCAAAATGTTTAATACGTTAAATAACCCTACTTTTATATGAAATATACACACAAAAGTCTAAACTGAAACATAGCTATCCCCGCTAAGATCTAACACAACCGCTATAGAGCGTAGCACGTTGGTGCCATATTCATCAAACACGTTTTCACTCGCGGGCATTGAGAGCCCGTATTCCGCGGTTATCTCCCCTTGACCAGAAAACGCTCCAATGCGTTGCTGAAGTGCTGGAACATTACCGTGTTAGTAATGCGTTTTCGTCGCTTAAGCAATATTCGAACAACATCACGGCGGGGGACACCGGATATTTGCTTCAGACATTGTACGTACCCCTGTGGAGAATCGAACCAGGGCTTTCAACGTGACGAGAGAACACATTAACCACAAGGCTACCTTTCTGCATCCTGACACAGATCTGGACCTATACGCTATGACGAATAACAACTGTTTGGGGAAACCGTTTCGTTCAATGAGTGACCAGCTTATAAGCTGAATAGTTTAAAGCATAACTTGTATTGGATCTGCCGTTTGCAACTTCTGTACTTGAGTGAGTGAGTGGGTTGGGTTTAACGCCGCTTTTAACAGTATTACAGTCATACCACGGCGTGTGGGAGGAAAGCCCGAAGTGATGCAGGTTTCAGACGTTTACCACTTCGGTGAAACCCACGAGCACGGGTATGGTGCTGACAAACCTAGAAACATAATCGGGGCGAACCGGGATTCGAACCCACAGTCATAGGTTTCTGGCGTCTCCAAGGGACGCAACTCTGTAAAGCTAATCGCGGCGCCTTAGACGACTGGACCACCCGTGGCCCACTTCTGTTCTTGAAAATAATAGTAAGTGAGTATGGTTTTACCCCGCCTTTAGCAATATCCCAGCAATATCAAGGCGGATAACAGAAGAAATGGGCTTCACACATTGTACCCATGTCGGGAATCGAACCCGGGTCTTTGGCGTGACGAGCAAACACTTTAACCACAAGGCTACTCGCTCATTACCAGTGGTTTATTTTCTGTTGACAGGGACACAATATCAAGTATAACATGGCACAAACTGTGCTCTGTGTGTGTGTGTGTGTGTGTGTGTGTGTGTGTGCGTGCGCGCATCAACCTTCACCTTTCATTGTCATGTCTGGGCAAAACGAGACTGAAACTAGACGTAGCTGTTTGATACGGCACTAGGTGATGCGCATCACTCATACAAAATATCTGGTGTGACGTCAACCACGCATGCCCATTGCTGTCTCGCGAATCACCCCGCCGGAATTACTGGGAGGCGATAACTTACAGGTACGTCTCGTTTCTTTGACGAATTCCGATAAATTGTCACTTCTAACACAGGAGAGTATACGTAACGTGAATGTGTTTGAAATCACTTCAGAGAAGAACGATCCCAATTCTGATTCTGTATCCCGTTCCACCAAAACACATGTACTGAGAACTGATTTGTTTGTGTGCGGAGCAAAATAACCGATTGGGTCAAACTGACATTGTTACATCCCCGGGATGCTGGGGGGCGTTGTCCATCTCAATCAGTCACAGCAACCACATCGGGGTACACGAGAACGCTGTCCGTCTCAATAAGACATTGCAAAGTACGTCACTAGAGATAAACCGTTCATACATACATACAAGGCGAAAACACATTGCTCAGCTAGGCGTTTTAAAATAAAGGAACACATATTTCTTCAACTTGACATATTCAGGTGATGTGTGAACAGCCCTAGGCAGTTTAAGTGAAGCTTTGATTAAGTTATTTAAACTGCGGATGTAAATTATGTTAATACGTGCATTGCAGGTATTTTCTTGTGCGATATTATTAACGACAAACCACACTCCGTTGTCATGGTAATGCAATGCTCCCAAGACTGTTTATGGCACATGCGTGGATGCAACGTCAGTCAGTATGATGGCGGCATATGTTGGTGTAAAATTGAATGCGAGGTTTGTTACGACAGCGGTGAGTTAGAGTTCAGTCATGAACATTAATTAGCTATACATTGGATATTCGTAGTGTGAAAACAGGTTGCCATATAACCCTTGATAAGTTGAGTTTCCCGCCCTGCGAACTCTATATCTATACTATTCCCTGTGGTCTGAATAATCAGTTTCGAGAAGAATTGTATAAATGCTTATCTATATAAGATGTGTAGCGATGTGCTAGTCAGATGCCGTTACTCTATCCCTGGTAGTGATCAGCATCTGTCTTGTAGGCTACTGCCAGTGCAAACCGACCAACAAGAACAATCGTCCAATGCGCATTGTAGGATTTTTAACTGAGTGTATAATGTTTTGACGACTTTTGTACCTATAATCTCCTTCCAGTTTGTTTGTTTGTCTGTTGTTTAACGCCGCACTCAGCAATATACCAGCTATATGACGGCGGCCTGTAAATAATCGAGTCTGGACCAAATAATCCAGTGATTGACATTATGAGCATCGATCTACGCGAAATGGATACGATGACATGCATCAACCAAGTTAGCGAGCCTGACCACCCGATTCCGTTAGTCGCCTCTTACGAAAAGCATAGTCGCCTCTTACGGCAAGCAAAGGTTGCTGAAGACCTATTCTACCCCGGATCTTCTCGGGACTCCTTCCACTTAGTATTTCACTTCCAAAAGCCGACCCATGCCGTACATGCAGGGTGTTCTAAATATGATGTGTATAGTTCCTCCTTTCAGAGACAAAAACGGTAGTCTTGAGGCTATGACTGAATAAAAACATTCTGTCTCTAACAAAAATCCACGCTCGAGGTAAACCCGGTGGCAAATCTAGCTCGGGTGAACATGATGGGGACATATAAGCAAGACTGAGAACATCTGTCTGGTGTGTTTATTAAGTGTATGCAACCCGTGAAGATCTGGGTTAGAATTGATCTTCAACAACCCATGCTTGTCGTATAAGGCGACTATTGGGATTAGGTGGTCAGGCCCGCAGACTTGGTTGTATGTCATCGTATCCCATTTGCGTAGATCGATGCTCATGATGTCAATCACTGGTCCAGACTCGATTATGTACCGTCCGCCGTCATACAGCTGGAATAGCGCTGAGTGCAACGTTAAACAACAAACAAACAAACAAATAGTGTATGTAACTCACCCAGAAATCAGCATAGCTGAGCAGAAGAGAGTTGTTGGCTGGTGTCCATTGGAACGTAGACAGACCCACCCTTTCGTCGGTGGATTGTTTGATGTGGAAATTCCCCAGGTACTCATTGAAAACTGTTGTCACCTTCCCCACGTAGACACACGGCAAGTCGGGGCTCTGTTGCAGCAGCTGTAGGAAGGGTTAGAAACGGTTAATATGACAGTAGTGATTATGTTATCCTGCCTTCAGCAATATTCCAGCATCGTATTGGCTGGGACACCATAAACGAGATTTGCACATTTTACCCATGTGGGAAGTCAAACCCGGGTTTTTGGCATGACGAGCAAAAGTTTAACCATCGCTCCTTTGACACTAGTGGACATACAATATTGCTCGTATACTAATTTTGCTTCAATGTTATATACACCATTAGTCCGAAATGAGCTCACGCTGTCTACCCCAGCGATTGGACGACATCGTCATCATTCGATCTGTCTGTCTTAAGTAGGCTGGCACAGTTTTTGAAGTTTATTAATTTGTCAATATGGGTTTGTCAAGTAGAAATTTATGTTAAAAAGAAAGTATGAACAATTGTAATATGTTCTTATAAACGCTAATGTCAAACATAACAAGAGTTAATATCCTTGAAACAGTTGTGATTTGTGTGTTTGCGAGTAGTGCATGAAAAGAAATCAGAAATCAGAGATAAATTGTTTGTCAACTGATCTCGAGGGGTATATGGTGTGATGTACCCTGTGTGGGGGCAAGTATCCCAAGCCGTCAATATGATGTCTCAAGAGTAACTGAGGAGGATAACTATATAACGGTATTATACTAATAAGTACAATAAGTAAAGTATTAAACATTAACATGATTTTCGACAGTAAACTTCGGCTTTACAAATCACAAACTGACTTTTGAGCATGGCTTTACAATACCTAACTCTATAGAGTGATTTGACAACGGCTTAAAAATAAAAGCAGTATTTTAACTGTAAAGCGTGATTTGACAATGGCTTAAAAATAAAAGCAGTAACAGAATTGTATAGCTTGATGAGTCTATGGCTTAAAAATAAAAACAGTATCATAACTGCAGATTTTGTGCGATTTAACAATGGCTTAAAAATAAATGCAGGTTCATAGCAAACTTGCGTGATTTGTCAATGGCTTAATAATGAAAGCAGTATCATAACTGTATAGCGTAATTTGACAATGGCTTAAAAACGAATGCAATATCATAACTGTATAGAGTGATTTGACAACGGCTTAATAATGTAATAATGAAAGCAGTATTATAACAGTTTCTGTATAGAGTGATTTGACAACGGCTTAATAATGAAAGCAGTATTATAACTGTATAGAGTGATTTGACAACGGCTTAATAATGAAAGCAGTATCATAACTGTAAAGCTTGATTTGATAATGGCTTAACAATACATACACAATCATAACTGTATTGTCTGTTTTGACAATGGCTTAACAAAGAATGCAATATATAACTATATATCGAGATTACTTTAAATGTATACAGTATCATAAATGATTGGCATTACGATGGGTTTACAATATATTCATGGTCTTACTGACGATCGTCATATAATGAATGCGGTACCATAACAATGTAGCGATATTTTACCATTGCTTTATAGGATGTATTCAATAGCATCAATGCCTGACGACATTTGACGACGTTTTTAAAGTTAACGGAGGATATTTACTGGATAACGACATATGAATAATAAGCCATGAAAAGTTCAGCTTACTGCTGGGTAAATGACATATTTTACCGAACAGTCAAATACTTTGTTCTTGATGTCTGAATGCCTCCGTGGTCTCATGGATAGAGCGTCAGCCCGCAGGGGAGATCGGTGGTTCGAGCCCCGGCCGCGTCATACCAAAAGCAGTTAAATGTGGTCCTTGCTGTTCCCTGTCAGGCGTATGGTATCACACGCACGCACGCACGCACGCACGCACGCACACACACACAAACACACAAACACACACACACACGTCGATATATAAGTGCAGTCATCTTGAGTGCGACGTTAAAACCCGCTTCACCTCACCTTTCCCGATTTTCGCTCTGCTGGCTTACGTTTGCAACGTCAATATCTGTATGCCGGACTTGCTTCTGACAGATACTGACAGACACGTAACATATACAGTATGCTCACCAGCAGGTCCTTCAGGGATACACTGAAGGAGTTTCCGCTTTGTGTAAAATTGAACCCCGACGCCGGACTGGCGAGTACTGCCAACACAAGGACTTTCAACAACATCGTGTGTGATGTACCTGAAGCAGAGAAACATTGTGTTTGCGTGAGTGAGTGAGTTGGGTTTAACGCCGCTTTTAACAGTATTCCAGTTATATCACGGCGTGTCAGCTTAATGTGGGAGGAAAGCCCGAAGTGATGCAGGTCTCAGACGTTTACCACTTCGGTGAAACCCACGAGTACGGGTATGGTGCTGACAAACCTAGAAACATAATCGGGGCAAACCGACAATCGAACCAACAATCATAGGTTCCTGGCGTTCCCAAGGGACGCAACTCTGCACAGCGAATCGCGGCGCCTTAGACGACTGGGCCCCCCCGCCAAGGTGAAAAAAGTCACGTCAGAATTACCTCCCCCCCCCCCCATGGTGTTTGACGCACATGAAGTACTGAAACATGGTGTTTGACACGCATGAAGCATTGAAACATGGTGTTTGACGCCCATGAAGTATTGAAACATGGTGTTTGACACGCATTAGGTTATGAAACATGTTTTTGACGCGGATAAAGCAATGGCATATGGCGTTTGACACGTATGAAGTTAAGAAATATGGTGCTTTCATATGTACCTGAAGTAAAATGTCGCCATTGATGTACCTGGAATAGATATACGTCCTCATGTCAGCTGGGACTACTTTGCTGACTAAACACGTATCGGTGTACCGTTGAAACATTGCCGTTTGGAACGTGTATACATCGAGTTAAGACATACAATTATTACACCATGTGAAGTTTATCTACCGCTTAAAACACATCTGTGACGTTATTCTATTGTTTGAACGCTCCATTATATTTCAGGAATGGAGAGTTGCTTGTCAACTGTACATTATCTTGAAGCAGCATTTGAATTTTTCAAATATTTTCAACTACAGAATATTTTGTCAAAGTGTAAAAGTAGGGATGAGTTTTAAGTAGGTGAATATCCTCTTAACTCTCCATTCCTTAAAAATAATGGGTCCCTGCGGGGCCTCTGCTCCATTATTTTTAAGGAATGGAGAGTTACTCGGACATTCCCCTCTACTTATCAGTGAAAGTAAATGCCCAATAGATACCTGTCATAAAGGATTTGTGATATAGCTATGGCGCAGGCATATTGGACGAGTAGGCTTATGTGTCGACTCCTACTTCGTGAAGAAAGGGCGGTCGGGTAGCCTAGTGGTTAAAGCGTTCGCTCATCACGCCGAAGACCCGGGTTCGATTCCCGACATGGGTACAATGTGTGAAGCCCATTTCTGGTGTCCCCCGCCGTGATATTGCTGGAATATTGCTAAAAGCGGCGTAAAACCATACTCACTCACTCACTCGTGAAGAAAGGGACACTGATGTGACATTAGTTCCTCGCCAAGGATATGGATCCACGCACTGTCTAGCCAAGGGCTAGTATTGTAAGTTTCCTACTTTTCTACACTAATCGTAATATTGAAGCACCCGAATATAGCAAGTAAATTCAAGTAAGCGCCCTTGTTTGAAATCTATATGTCTAATAAATCATACACTTGGAAAGTACATATCCTAACGGTGATAGACATTTGACATCTATGTCTAAATAGACATTCATTGTAAAGTTTTCGTGAGCTATATTTACCGATAAAAAATCCCGATGAAACTGTAAGGGTTTTTGACGTCAAAACAAAATTAACGGAAGTGGTCGTGATTAGTTCATTGCAGACTGTTTCAAAGATTATGTTACAATAAGAATGACAGTTTGGATTATATATCTATATGAAAACCCGGTTACGTCCATAAAGGTTTTTTCATTAGTGGTAAAAACAACTTCGGGGTATATTGACATCGAACATTTTCAAAGGACAAAAAGGATGAGATGGTCAAATAGCCCAAACAATCATCAAAATTAATAGAGACCGCTCAATATCGGATATCATTATTATTTCTAAATAATTAACAAGATAATAATAACGTACTATCACCCTTGGATAAGTATACGTAGATTCGGTCAATATCATTGAAAATCCATTCCACTGACCTCCCCACCTGAACTAGAAACAGATAAACGGTGAAACGGCTTTCATAGTTATATACAGTAAACTACGGTTATAACGAACTCAACGGGACTACTAATTTTAGTTCGTTATAACCGTAGTTCGTTATAAGTACATATACAGCATGACTACAGCAAGTAGTCGGGACCACAAAAGTAAGTTCGTTATATCCGTCAGTTCGTTATAAGCGTGTTCGTTATAACCGTAGTTTACTGTCTATGCACAACGATTCAGAGTGACAAAAAATATCTCATCAACACTGTTTGACAAAAGTGACGACTTCAACTTTCCGACAGTCAGCTTTCCCTTCATGTTGAGCAGTATTCCAGATGAAATTTAACTTTCCTTTGCATGTGTTTGTGCCGGGTGTCACCAGTGGGTCAGGATGCGCTAACCCTTTCGCTAACACCTGGTATCATCACTATTTGATAGTGAGTCATTAACATATGCTCTTGATATCGCCGAAATCGTACTTTCGACTCAGCGTTTAGCGGATATATAGTGGGGCTATGGAAAGGATGTTGCCGGGTATGACGCGGCCGGGGATCGAACCACAAAAAAAACACAAAAAAAACTGCTGCCCTCTTCACATCAACACATTTTTTAGACTTTCCAAATATATTCATCAGTAATCCATGGACAATAAAATACAGACTGAGTAAAGTACGGTTATAACGAACTCAAAGGGACTACTCATTTTAGTTCGTTATAACCGTAATTCGTTATAAGCATATATACAGCATAACTACAGCATATAGTCGGGACAAAAAAGTTAGTTCGTTATATCCGTTAGTTCGTTATAAGCGTGTTCGTTATAACCGTAGTTTACTGTATAAAGACCTGAGTTTGAAATGTCTGACCTTGTTTTCTCCCGTCTTACCGAGTTTCATTACAACATGGATCCAGTATGTGATAACAGCAGGTCACCGAGGTCAGGAAGCTCAACAGATAGCACGAGGTCACGCCTACAGTAGTCACTTGCGCAAACACGAGTGTCAATGTAAGGAACGTTTTACATGTACAATTGTATATCGGTTACCAGCTGGGTGCGGTTTGTATATGTTTCTTGTAACGTTAAAGTATTGACCTACATTGACAAACCTATGCCATGAGGACGCCATATGCGTGCATGTCTATGCCTTAACACCAGACTGAAAAGGAGATACCAGACGCAAAAGCAGTTACAATGACACTTTGAGAAATCGCCACGCGTTAAAGACTTTAGGAACAGAAGTGTGTTTGCGTAGGTGCGACCTTAATGTATTTAAGTCATAACTATTTTATCAACTATGGAATACTGTAAGGGACATTCTCGCGATCTCGCATTAGGCTAAAATCTCGCGTTCTCGCGATCTCGCATTCTCGTATTTTTGGCATATTTAGCACGTTTCAAAAGGTCGAGATCGCGAGAATGCGAGATCGCGAGAATGTCCCTTACAGTATTCCATAATCAACGGACCAGAACTGAAACACATTGTACACGTCCAAGAGTTTTAATTCAAATAATGAAAGACGCTCTATTCCACGTCATGCGAACGACGTTAGAGTGTACAATATAATATGGTATTATTTATCCAATTGGTGCCATATATACATGTGTCTAGTACGATATAAAACACTAGGAATGGTATACTATATATATCTATAACAGGGATATACTATATACATGTATCACGTCTTGAATGACATTAAGAGTGAGTGAGTGAGTGAGGTTTGACGCCGCTTTTAGTAATATTCCAGCAATATCACGGCTGGCGACACCAGAAATGCGCTTCACACATTGTACCCAGGAGGGAATCGAACCCGGGCCTTTAGGTGTGACGAGCGAACGCTTTAACCACCAGGCTACCCCGCGATATAATTATACTGAAAACACGTCACAGGGTCGGGCATTTGGAAGACGGAATGTCGTTAAAATATAATAAACTAAGTAATGTATTTGCTGTAACACAATCTCATTAAAACCATATCTTAGTTCTCGCTATCGCTAAACAAAGCTTTGTTTAAGGTGCCATTACTCCAAACGGCGATCGCTCTGCGCTCCTTCTGCGTCCTAAAATTTGACTAGAGCGCAGTGGGGTCGCCATACTCAAGAAAACTCTCTTTTGGTGTAATCGCTCCTACGACCGTTCCGCCTTCCTTCTGCGACTAAATATGTTACTTTTATCAATGTCACTGCGTTCCCTGAACGACCTAGGCGTTCACTGTGCGATATCTCTGCGCTCCCTCTGCGTCTCCTCTGCGTCCCCTCTGCGTCTCCTCTGCGTCCCCTCCGCCTCCGTTCTGCCTCCCTTGAGCGACTTACATCGACGGCGATCTCACTGCGACTGTTTTAAGCATGTTCAAAACTTTTCAGACACAGTGGCGCTCTTGGCGATGGCTGAACGTTCCCTCTGCCTCCCTTGTGCGCTCTACGCGACCGTTCTGCGACCCCTCTGCCTTCAACGCCGACCTGGCAAAACTTAAGAACGCAGAACGGTCGCAGAAAGGTCGCCGTCCGGTGTAATGGGGGTATTAGCGGCAGCGAGAATTTAGATCTGATTTTAATGAGATTAGCTGTAAACACGAATTGAAATGAGAAACGTTTTGAACCATGTCTGCCATCATACTAGGCTGACAACTGAATATACACATCATACATATGATATTAATTATATAAGTAAAGAAGGCAAAATGCATATCACCATTAACTGGCTATGCATACTTTCGCGTTATAATGACATGATGTCACACACGCCGCGAGGCCAGTCATCCAAAAGATCGTGTTTTGGGTATAATATGATATTTTAATATTAAATATATCTATAATTATGATATTATGCCTGTCACGTACTAGTCAAGACTGATGCCGATTTATAGAGCTAGCACACTGAGACACCATGCCGAGTGAGTGAGTGAGTGAGTGAGTGGGTGAGTGAGTGAGTGGGTGAGTGAGTGGGTGAGTGAGTGAGTGAGTGAGTGAGTGAGTGAGTGGGTGAGCCCATATTCCATCCACATCACGGCAGGAAACACATTGTACCCATGCAAGAAGTCGAACCACAACATTAACTATCGCACCTGTACAATAGCATATACTACATACCTCTACAATATGACTTACCGAGCATACATGTACAATGCTAATCTACACACAGTACAGACATCTATACAATACGAATGTTTATTGGATGACATAATATTCTGCCAAGACAAGAACGGTTTTAGAAACACTCACCTGCGGCGGTAACACGAACGTGTTCAGTATCACAAGCAGTAAGGGGAGTATCGTCCTCGGCTGATGACGGATGTGGGGATGAATCTAAAGTAAATGGTAATGATATTTCTTATCAATTAGGTCAGAGGTCATTGGTCAAATACTGTCGCACTAAGTGTTAACAAGCGATAATCAGATCACAGAAGCTATAGGTCTTTTGTCATTAAAAGGTCGTCGGTACGGTACAGTTATCTTGGAAGTAGAACAGTGGACGCTGTGATATAAATGAACTTCAGCTCAAGGTGGCCAGGAATAAGATTGTATAAGTTACGGATAGCTGAAACGTTGCTGATGCAGCGTTAAGCAATAATCACTCTCACTTAATTACTCACTCAGTAACTAACCCAGTTACTCGTCCAGTGAAGATCCGGGGTAGAAAAGGTCTTTAGCAACCTATGCTTACCGTAAAAGGTGACTATGCTTTTGGTAAGGGGCAACTAACGGGATCGGGTGGTCAGGCTCGCTGACTTGGTTGATGCATGTCAATGTATCCCAATTGCGTAGATCGATGCTCATGATGTCAATCATTGGATTGTCTAGTCCAGATACGAATATTCACAGACCGCCGTCATGTAGCTGGAATATTGCTGAGTGAGACGTTAAACAACAAACAAACAAACACTTAATTACTCACTGACCCAATCAAACACCCGCGACAACGGACACGAAGGCTTGCACTATGCAGGATGTTTTTGGCCCTGTAGGCCTTACTATGTTCAATATAGATACTGTTTACAATGTCTATGGATGTCCTTACATGTGTGTAATTCTATTCTATACAATGCAGCACCTTAAACAACATGCATCCACGTCCTGGGAAATTACCAACATGAGTAGGGGCGGTCGGATAGCCTAGTGGTTAAAGCGTTCGCTCGTCACACCGGAGACCCGGGTTCGATTCCCGACATTGGCAGAATGTGTGAAGCCCATTTCTGGTGTCCTCAGCCTTGATATTGCTGGAATATGGCTAAAAGCGGCGTAAAACCATACTCACTCATTCATAAATATGGATTACTATGGATTACTATGGTGTATACACCAGAAATCTATGATTGTGGGTTCGAATCCCGGTTCGCCCCGATTATGTTTCTAGGTTTGTCAGCATCATACCCGTGCTCGTTGGTTTCACAGAAGTGGTAAACGTCTGAGACCTGCATCACTTCGGGCTTTCCTGCAACATTAAGCTGACACACCGCGATATAACTGGAATACTGTTAAAAGCGGCGTTAAACCCAACTCACTCACTCACTACTGTGGTGTATAAATAACGTTTACAATGTTGAGGCGTAGAGGAATGTCAGATGTGAGAGAAGTGAAAATACATGTTGTTTTAATGAGATACTGATATGTAAACTGGGGGGAAAGAGAAACTATACCGAGTTTGTTTTTTATGTAATTGAAAAGAGAAAGAACACTGTTTAATTTGATAATGTCCATTTAAGCACGACACAGTTTGTAACATGTTATCTGTGGCTGGGTAAGTGTGTGTAAACATAAATGGGTTCAATAAAGTCTTGGGTACGAAATAAATTTGCAACCACATGACCCCTACCATTTGAAATGTTGTAGTCATGTCGAAAAAGCAAATTTGTTGATTTTCAAAACTAAACGTATAAGATACCCATCCGCAATTGTGTAATATGCAATTTTTTTAATTTTTCAAAGTTTTAAATCAAAATGTATTTAAAAAATGAAACCATGTCGAAATATTCTTTGAGGGCTGACTAAGCGCCAGTGCAGTTTATTTTTGGAATATGATACGGCTAACTTAAGATATTTGCAATTGAAAGTCAAACATATAATAAATTCAACTTATAGGTATTGTTTCTCAAGCTCCACAGTCGGGTAGCCTGGTGGTTAAAGCGTTCGCTCGTCACGCCGAAGACCCGGGTTCGATTCCCGACATGGGTACAATGTGTGAAGCCCATTTCTGGTGTCCCCCGCCGTGATATAGCTGGAATATTGCTAAAATCGGCGTAAAACCATATTCACTCACTCACTCACTCACTCACTCCACAGTCCATGTCTCCCAGTACAGCAAATGTGTCGTATCGTATTGTATATCTTATCGCGACCTTACTATCAAGGTACACATCGTATCATGACAAATCGTATACATGTTACATCCCTATTATGGAACAGTATAAACAGACGGATGTATAGCTAGGGATATCATCTCCATGCACTAACCTATGGAGGTCCATAACCTTGGATGGGGTAGCCTTGTGGTTAAAGCGTTCGCTTGTCACGCCGAACACCCGGGTGACCCACTTAGCTATAGAGGTCCATAACCTTGGATGGGGTAGCCTTGTGTTTGAAGCGTTCGCTTGCCACGCTGAAGAACCGGGTGACCCACTAAGCTGTGGAGGTCCATAACCTTGGATGGGATAGCTTAGTGGTTTAAGCGTTCGCTTGTCACGCCGAAAACCCGGTTGGCCCACTAAGCTATGGAGGTCCATAACCTTGGATGGGATAGCCTATATATAGTGGTTAAAGCGTTCGTTGTCACGCCGAACACCCGGGTTGCCCACTAAGCTATGGAGGTCCATAACCTTGGATGGGATAGCCTATATATAGTGGTTAAATCGTTCGCTTGTCACGCCGAACACCCGGGTTGCCTAATAAGCTATGGAGGTCCATAACCTTGGATGGGATAGCCTATATATAGTGGTTAAATCGTTCGCTTGTCACGCCGAACACCCGGGTTGCCCACTAAGCTATGGAGGTCCATAACCTTGGATGGGATAGCCTATATATAGTGGTTAAATCGTTCGCTTGTCACGCCGAACACCCGGGTTGCCCACTAAGCTATGGAGGTCCATAACCTTGGATGGGATAGCCTATATATAGTGGTTAAAGCGTTCGCTTGTCACGCCGAACACCCGGGTTGCCCACTAAGCTATGGAGGTCCATAACCTTGGATGGGATAGCCTATATATAGTGGTTAAAGCGTTCGCTTGTCACGCCGAACACCCGTGTTGCCCACTAAGCTATGGAGGTCCATAACCTTGGATGGGATAGCCTATATATAGTGGTTAAATCGTTCGCTTGTCACGCCGAACACCCGGGTTGCCCACTAAGCTATGGAGGTCCATAACCTTGGATGGGATAGCCTATATATAGTGGTTAAATCGTTCGCTTGTCACGCCGAACACCCGGGTTGCCCACTAAGCTATGGAGGTCCATAACCTTGGATGGGATAGCCTATATATAGTGGTTAAATCGTTCGCTTGTCACGCCGAACACCCGTGTTGCCCACTAAGCTATGGAGGTCCATAACCTTGGATGGGATAGCCTATATATAGTGGTTAAATCGTTCGCTTGTCACGCCGAACACCCGGGTTGCCCACTAAGCTATGGAGGTCCATAACCTTGGATGGGATAGCCTATATATAGTGGTTAAATCGTTCGCTTGTCACGCCGAACACCCGGGTTGCCTACTAAGCTATGGAGGTCCATAACCTTGGATGGGATAGCCTATATATAGTGGTTAAAGCGTTCGCTTGTCACCCCGAACACCCGGGTTGCCCACTAAGCTATGGAGGTCCATAACCTTGGATGGGATAGCCTATATATAGTGGTTAAATCGTTCGCTTGTCACGCCGAACACCCGGGTTGCCTACTAAGCTATGGAGGTCCATAACCTTGGATGGGATAGCCTATATATAGTGGTTAAATCGTTCGCTTGTCACGCCGAACACCCGTGTTGCCCACTAAGCTATGGAGGTCCATAACCTTGGATGGGATAGCCTATATATAGTGGTTAAATCGTTCGCTTGTCACGCCGAACACCCGGGTTGCCTAATAAGCTATGGAGGTCCATAACCTTGGATGGGATAGCCTATATATAGTGGTTAAATCGTTCGCTTGTCACGCCGAACACCCGGGTTGCCCACTAAGCTATGGAGGTCCATAACCTTGGATGGGATAGCCTATATATAGTGGTTAAATCGTTCGCTTGTCACGCCGAACACCCGTGTTGCCCACTAAGCTATGGAGGTCCATAACCTTGGATGGGATAGCCTATATATAGTGGTTAAATCGTTCGCTTGTCACGCCGAACACCCGGGTTGCCCACTAAGCTATGGAGGTCCATAACCTTGGATGGGATAGCCTATATATAGTGGTTAAATCGTTCGCTTGTCACGCCGAACACCCGTGTTGCCCACTAAGCTATGGAGGTCCATAACCTTGGATGGGATAGCCTATATATAGTGGTTAAATCGTTCGCTTGTCACGCCGAACACCCGGGTTGCCCACTAAGCTATGGAGGTCCATAACCTTGGATGGGATAGCCTATATATAGTGGTTAAATCGTTCGCTTGTCACGCCGAACACCCGGGTTGCCTACTAAGCTATGGAGGTCCATAACCTTGGATGGGATAGCCTATATATAGTGGTTAAAGCGTTCGCTTGTCACCCCGAACACCCGGGTTGCCCACTAAGCTATGGAGGTCCATAACCTTGGATGGGATAGCCTATATATAGTGGTTAAATCGTTCGCTTGTCACGCCGAACACCCGGGTTGCCTACTAAGCTATGGAGGTCCATAACCTTGGATGGGATAGCCTATATATAGTGGTTAAATCGTTCGCTTGTCACGCCGAACACCCGTGTTGCCCACTAAGCTATGGAGGTCCATAACCTTGGATGGGATAGCCTATATATAGTGGTTAAATCGTTCGCTTGTCACGCCGAACACCCGGGTTGCCTAATAAGCTATGGAGGTCCATAACCTTGGATGGGATAGCCTATATATAGTGGTTAAAGCGTTCGCTTGTCACGCCGAACACCCGGGTGACCCACTAAGCTATGAAGGTCCATAACCTTGGATTGTGTAGCCTATAAATAGTGGTTAAAGCGTTCGCTTCAGCCGAAGACCCGGGTGGCCCATTAACCTATAGAGGTCCATAACCTTGGATGGGGTAGCCTTGTGGTTAAAGCGTTCTCTTGTCACGCCGAACACCCGGGTGGCCCACTAAGCTATGGAGGTCCATAACCTTGGATTGGGTAGCCTATATATAGTAGTTAAATCGTTCGCTTGTCACGCCGAAGACCCGGGTGGCCCACTAAGCTATGGAGGTCCATAACCTTGGATTGGATAGCCTATATATAGTGGTTAAATCGTTCGCTTGTCACGCCGAACACCCGGGTTGCCCACTAAGCTATGGAGGTCCGGGTTCGATAGCCGACATGGATATGCCAATTCTGATGTCCCCCTTCGTGATATTGCAGGAATATTTCTAAAAGCGGCGTAAAACAATACTCACTCACTTTCACTTTTTTGCCAGTTTTAAGGTCAGTGACACGATGTAACTACTCGTTAGGATACCGCAAACAACTTCTATCAGATCATCAAGTATTATTTATTTATGGTTAGGGATGCAGAAATTCTGCCCTTTCCGTGTGGAACCTTTTTTATACATTTTATATTTGATCACTACTTTGTCGACTTCAGAACATATCTAATGGCCCGCTAACGTCATTGTCTTTGAAGGAAACTCGCATGCTTACATTCTCATGGGTTGAATCCCCGATTCTTAATGTCGCAAGTCATTTAACAGTCACAGCGAAATTCAGGCATCAGAAGCTCCACCAACCAGTGTTCCCTGTGTCAGAAGTACCACCCGCTCGTGCCGACTGTGTCAGAAGTACCACCCATGTTACCTGTGTCAGAAGTATCACCCATGTTCCCTGTGTCAGAAGTACCAGCCATGTTCCCTGTGTCAGAAGTACCACCCATGTCCTCTGTGTCAGAAGTACCAGCCGAGCCCCCTGTGTCAAAAGTACCACCCATGTCCCCTGTGTCAGAAGTACCACCCATGTCCCCTGTGTCATAAGTACCACCCGTGTCCCCTGTGTCAGAAGTACCACCCATCCTGTCTCCTGTGTCAGAAGTACCACCCATGTCCCCTGTGTCAGAAGTACCACCCATGTCCTCTGTGTCAGAAGTACCACCCATGTCCCCTATGTCAGAAGTACCACCCATGTCCCCTGTGTCATAAGTACCACCCGTGTCCCCTGTGTCAGAAGTACCACCCATGTCCCCTGTGTCAGAAGTACCACCCATGTCCCCTGTGTCAGAAGTAACACCCATGTCCCCTATGTCAGAAGTACCACCCATGTCCCCTGTGTCAGAAGTAACACCCATGTCCCCTATGTCAGAAGTACCACCCATGTCCTCTGTGTCAGAAGTACCCCCCATCCTGTCTCCTCTGTCAGAAATACCACCCATGTCCCCTGTGTCAGAAGTAACACCCATGTCCCCTGTGTCAGAAGTAACACCCATGTCCCCTGTGTCAGAAGTACCACCCATGTCCCCTGTGTCAGAAGTACCACCCGTGTCCCCTGTGTCAGAAGTACCACCCATTCATGTCCTCTGTGTCAGAAGTACCACCCATGTCCCCTGTGTCAGAAGTACCACCCATGTCCCCTATGTCAGAAGTACCACCCATGTCCCCTGTGACAGAAGTACCACCCATGCCCCCTGTGTCAGAAGCACCATCCATCCATGTCCTCTGTGTCAGAAGTACCACCCATGCCCCCTGTGTCAGAAGCACCATCCATCCATGTCCTCTGTGTGATATTCTACTCACTTATTGCCTAGGTTATCTCCTGATTTCCAACTTCATCATCTCTTGAGTGACGGACTTAACCAACTTACCACCTTCACTAGAACAATGCAGCACTACACACACCGCTCAGCAAACCCACATTTGGAATATACTTACCAGGCCTACAGCATAAGCTTAAAACTAAATATCACCTCGCTCCCTTTAGACAACCTTGGAGACCCAAGCAGGGTGGAAACCTCAATATAACGCCAAACAACGGTAAGCCTGTAAACACCCTTGTACATGTACCAATAAAGACTGCGACGTCTGTACTGAAAACTGATGCTGACGAAAGTGGTACCAATGGTATATATATATATATACACAGTAAACTACGTTTATAACGATAACGAACTGTTGTTTTTTGTCTTTTTTTATGACGGTAGTTTACTGTTTATGCGGTTTAACGAACTAAACTTAGTGGTCCCTGTGAGTTTACCACACACACACACACACACACACACACACACACACACACACACACACACACACACATGGTCGTATAACGAGGTTACTGTGCATACATATAAGCAATGGCGTCATGATCTTTGCCTACCTGTGAGTTGGCAAATATTGAGTTTGATGACACATATCTGACGATTTTGACTCTCTCGCGACAAGTAGGTCACGGTTGTTTGAGACACCTGTATCGGTCATTCAGCATATCGCATGTACATATCCAGAGCTTCAGACTATTGTGGGATCCTCCAACACGAGGATGTCTGCAAAGGCGACCTCGTTGGTTGTTTATTATAGGTTATTAGTATATTAGTAACGCTCGTGCCACATGCTCCGAGTTCAATTTCTGCGGCACGTCACGCTATAGTCGTGCGTCAAACCACACCGTAGATAAACGAGAGAGAAAGAGAGGGGGGGAGGGGGGGGGGGGGGGGGGGAGGGGGGGGGGAGGGGGGGGGAGGGGGGGGGGCACTACTAATATACTCATTACCTATACAAAGCAACCACACTGTAGATAAACAAGAGAGAGAGAAAGAAAGGCTACCCACCTTCCTTCCCGTTATATGTGTCAGGACAAATTCCATTGCATTATGGATCAACCACGCCTCACGAAATCCACGGTCTTAACGTTATACTTGTCATCAATTAGGATACAGGTACAGATACATTTTCCTTATCAGTGGACTTTACTACATTTTATGAAATTGATCTCTTTTTCGACGCTGCTAAATATGAACATAAAATGAAAGACAGCAAATGGGACTTCTCCCAGGAAGCGCTGCCTAGTCAACTCCAACCCCTCTCTGTCAAAAGTGTCAAAAGGAACAGAAAATTCAATGATACAAATGATTTCAATACGGAACAGATCAGGTTTGTTTGCCTGGATACGTCTGAGGCTGTATACGGGCCTATTCAACCATGACACTCTCTACATATTCCGGGTCGTACCATGGATTGACATCTGTGTCAAAACCACAAGCATGGCGAAGACGGTAATAAAAGAATCCACGTCATCATGTCGCTTAAGATACTGTGTTTGTGCCAAAGCGGGGCATCCACTGACAACGTGTTGGACAGTCTCATTAAATTCATTGCATAATCTACGTTTCATATTTACATTTTGATGCAAAATCACACAGTGAGGGTTTTGAGTAGGAAGTGACTGGTCCTGAGCAGCAAACAGAAAGCCTTCTGTTTCACTTTTCAACGCAGGCGACCTCATCCAAGCGAAGGACTCCGCAGGGTTGCACGTCCTTCTCAACACACTGCACATAAACTCGATGCAGTGGTGGTTCAAATTGCCCATTCGAAAGGTCGTGCAGATAGCCTGTGCGAAAGTGCACATTACAATTCTATCATGAGGACCTCTACCTCAATAACTCCCATTAAAACCTGTAAATATAAGCGGTTGAGGGAAGAGCGACAGAATCCTTCGTGTAAGGGTGTCAATACCATGAATTTCTTGTTTCGTCCAATCAACAACACCAAAAGAAAACGAAGGGACGGGGACACCATAAGTATTGTTGGCTATGAACTCCAGATTTTCTTAAGTACGTACAGGCCTGACCTTGCACGAGATGGTCAATAGCTCCTCCACCAAGTAACTGATCGATTCTCTCTCTTCTACCTTGCCTTGCCTATTTGTACCGATTAATGACAAAACTAAAAATCAGTCAAGTGTTTCTACAGAGTGATACGCTGCCATGATTTCCAAATGGTGCATTTCGAGTCACTGGTCTATGACGTCGAATGTCATGCGTTCATGAGCGTCGGTTCACAAACATATCAATATATATCTCTTGAATATGAATAATGTTTCATATATCAACATACATTCATGGTATTCGCTTGTCTTTTGTCGGTGAGTATATATTTTCAAAGTTGTAAAAATACACTTATGGGGCAAAAAAAAGGCATACCAAGTTTGTTTTATGTAACTGAAAATTGAACACCAGAAACGGGTTTCACACATTGTACCCCTGTGAGGAATCGAACCCGGATCTTCGGCGTGACGAGCGAACGCTTTAACCACTAGGCTACCCCACCGCCCCCAATGCCACGAGAGAAATAATCAATGTTTTTGAAGTGTTGGGACAATAATAGAAATATGAGGACGACGAATAACGCATATACCACCAACTACGTCATTCTTGGTGAATTAAAACTGTATTTATGGATTATTATGAATGCGTCATTTATATGTTCTGACACTCGTTTATATCAATACTTACAATCGTGAGGCTTCCATTAGATACCCCAATTTAGACATTCCAGCGTCGTTGACTTTTCGGAAATGAGATTTCATAAAACGTAATAAGATCCACTTTTAAGGGAAAGACATTTGAACCTGAATCCTACTTGATGATAAGTATGACAAAATAGCCATTCCCTCGGCTGTGATGCTGGGACCCTGTTAAAACTAATATGTACTTGACCGCGAGAGTCTGGGCGTGTTCGTTCCATGATGCAATGGAATTTGATTTGTCCTTATGGTCAAATTTCTCTCACAACTGCCAACTCACAGTGAAGGCTGTGATAGCGTGCTACCCCGTCGTTTGTTTTGCCTTTTTTTCGGGCCATGTATGTATTTATTGTTTTATTGTGTCTCATGAGCCTTGTGGCTGAGCGCCACGTTTAGATTATATGTCCATTTTTATTGTATACACAGCTTATGTACCGCGTTTCACATAATATCTCTCTCCCTCTCTCTCTCTCTCTCTCTCTCTCTCTCTCTCTCTCTCTCTCTCTCTCTCTCTCTCACACACACACAACACATATAATAGGGAGGAGGGAGGAAGGTGGGTAGCCTTTCTGTTGGGTTCGATTCCCGAGACATGTGTACAATGTGTGAAGTCCATATCTCGTGTCCCCCGCCGTGATATTCCGGAAATATTGCTAAAAGCCGTGTAAAACCATACACACTCTCTACACAGAATAGATGCTGTGTTGTTCATCATTTATGTGGTTTGATGCAAGACTATAGTGTGTCATGTCGCGTGAGCAGAACTTTAAATCCGTCCCGCCCCTACACGAAACCCTTGTACAGATCACCTGGACTAGGTATAGCAGAGTAAAATGGTTCACGATGCCCGCGTCATACTAGGGGAGACAACTCTTCTCACCATGTTCGGAGATTTTAACATTTCATTTGAGTGCAGGATTAAATTTCTTTCTAGGGTCTATAAGTTGTGGCACATTATATCAAATGAATTTCCTCTACGTTTTTGTAAAGCGTTCAAATGACGGGCAAAGCATATATATAACTTATTATAACTAAACTCTACTCCCCCGATTTGCATGTTCTGTAAGTATTTACATGTAGTCAAACCGCAGTGTCATGGCAGAAGTACAACTGTACGGCCTAAGGCAACAAACAAACAGTTATTTTTTATGCGAATCTTGTGAGTGGTAGACGCTACCGGCACGGCAATACACGCGTTCCCATTTTTTGAACACCTGGTGTCATCACCGATTTTAAGTGATCCATTCATGTAAGTTTCACCGCTATTTCGCCTTATGCGTGTCGGAAAAACACCAGGTAAATTATTCAGTGAAAATACTGTTATATACTAGCGGCAGAAAGTTCCTATCCATCACCGACTATCATAGGAAAGCATAAATAAACGCAAACATAGAATGGTTTTGCAATAGAACAATATATTGACGTACATGAAACACGAATTCATCATGATAGTGTCAACACATCTCCTCTGTAACCGTCATCTCAGGCTGAAAGAGGCGTGGGGTCAACATTCGTCATCACTCGCCCCTTTCCGTAACCTGCAAGAAGACTCGTCCCCATATCGATGAATGTTATGTGCGTAAATACGACAAACCAATCAGAATGCGTGTATGATTTCAAGTTCTTCGTCAAAGAATCCCTCAGAAATAGTTTTTGATTTTACACATGTCTTGCATTTAAAAATATCCCCAAGACGCAGTTAAATGTGTTCAATCATACTGTATAATTCCGCATGTCCAGATGTGCTTTAAATTGCATCTGCAGTATATATAATATATGGGGAAATATATGTGAACCTTTACGCAACGAGTTGACAATTGTTTTAGGTATGCCCGTTTGCGCTAAGACGGAACCCGGTCGCAAAAATTGCCATGAGAGGGGCACGAGTCGCTATTCGGCTTGTCCCGGAATAACACGAGTTTGTCACGAATGATGGGGTCAATTGTCAGTTCACAAGAAAGAATCGGGTTTGATTACCAGTAGCAGTGTCATTGACGATTTCTCACAGTCCTTCCAATAATCGGACGAGAGCCGACTGTCTGGGATGCTGCGAGCTGTCAAAGATGCAGTCTGAAATCGATTTCGCAGGTTAAGGAGACATATGGTCATACTCTCATCGTGACGTACTCGTGCACGTCGTGAACATGGCCGGTCCCTGTTGCCCGTCTGTTAGTGCCGACCCCACATTGACTGCATGGTATTACAATGAACACCAATACACCTAGCAACAACGTTTTGTGCATCTTCTATGTCAGGCATTCTGATTGCACACAGCACCTCATTTTCAGTGGCATAACGTGTACGAGGTTTGGCCGTAGACGAAGTTGCTTTTCGCAGTTAAAATACTTTATATCACCGTTAGGATATT